TTTCAGAGAACAATTTGTTGGCTACTCAAAGACTTCATAAGGCTTCACAGCTAAGAAAACCTATTTTTTTTTTTTTACCAATAAAGCCACTATAAGATGACTGTATTCGAAGAAAGAAGAAAACACACACTTCCTCATTATTGAATAATGCCCCTGATTCGACTTCAGCGAATCCAAAGAATTGGGAAGCATGGAAGCAGCTTTAGCCTCCAGCCTCCTACAAGTGTTTGGTGTCTTCCTGGCCCAGGGAGCATATTTACAAAGCGCAGGTGCCTCTGCGCCTTTCCTATATGGCAGGTGAAAACAGTCACGCCTTACGTTTTCCAAGAATTAAAGGAATGTGAACCACGCCTAGTGAAAGAATCTTCAGCCATACAACTAAATGAACCCAGGCAGGCGGTTTTAGCAACTGTGAACAACTCGTTTTAGCTGCATCGTCAGTAGAGGGCAGCATGCTCCCCACTGGCTACCCCCATGCAAACCTTGGCTTTGGGGTCGCCTGGAGAAAAGTCGGGCCGCCTTACCCTACACAGCCCAGGGTCGCAGGCGTTGGCGGCTGCAAACTGCAACCACGTGGCTTCCCAAAAATCAACGGCTGACTCTTCATACAAATTTCGGAACCACTGTGGACAGTCAAAGAATTCAAGGCCCATAAAGAATTCCCTTTTGGGTTTTTCCTTGGCCGCGTTTCTGGGACACGCGCTCCCGCGTCGGGGCTGCCCGGCACGCCGCTCCGCAGGGCGGGACGCCAACGCGCCAGGAGAGCGGAAGGCGGCGCGGCGTGGGCGGTGGCGCGGTTCAGTGTCTGAAACCCGCGTGTGCGCCGGGCCTCCGGCGTTAGAGCCCAAGGGCGGCGTGGGCGGAGAGCGCCGATGGAGTCCCTCCCCGTGGTCCGCGCCCCCAGCCTGCGCCGACTACCCCGAGCACCTGTTGGTCCACGCGATGCGGGCGGGGGGATCCAGCCAGAGTTTCCTGCAGGTCTGGGCTGGGGCCAACAACTCCAGTTTCCAGCCACTTAGACTCCGCCGCTGCTGTCAGTCCACCCTGAGAGCCGCCGCTACGGGGTGCGGGGCTTTTACGGTGCCAGTGTGGGTGGGTGAAGAGGAAGAAGGCTGGAAGCGTCGAGAACATTCGACTCTCCCTCCCCAAGGCTCTCCCTCTCCCTTTCAGCTCCGGACAGCAATGCCCTGAAGGGGCTGATCCATGCCCAGGTGGGGGAAGGGGGACTAATGGTGGCCAAAGGGGCTCTCGAGGCACTTTCCCCGTTGCACACCGACTGAAAGGCAGGAGCAGGCGCGACTCGCGCGCGCGCGCGCACACCAGGGCGCACGCCTCCTTCCACGCCCCGCGCTGCCTGCCGCAGCCCAGCGCACCGGGGACCTTCTCAACCAGGGCTGCTCTGGGGGAGCGGAGGGAACCCGAAAGCGCCCTGCGCCCCGTGCGGTCCGCGCCGCGTCCCCGCGCTCGCCGGGCGGGGCAGGAGCGCAAGGGTCGGTGCCAGGCCCTGCCTCGCAGGCTCGCTTCCTGCGTCCCCGCGCAGTGCTCAGCTTCTCAGGCAGTTTGACAAGCAAGCCCAGGGCAGAGGTTTCGAGAAGCCTGGAGGGAGCTTCAGGACCCCTTGCTCCTCGGTTCAGCGCGCCGGCTCCGCCCTGGGCTCTTCCTCCAGCGCACACCGCTGCCGGGGGCCGCTGGGCCCATGACGGTCCTGTCTTCTCTGGGCGTCAATTTTATGACATTCTGGACACATGTTGAGCGTGTCACTGGGCCCAGCTCCTGCCCCTTTCTCTGAGGGCACTGCTCCGCCGCTGACAGCCACTTTCACATGATCTGGAGTTCTTTAAACATGTGACGTGGCCTACAGTACATACGTGCTCCCTGGTTCGCGTTGCCCATGGTTCATGTGTTCATGTTACAGTTACATCTTCGGCAAGAAACTAAAGTGCTGTGTGAAAATGCACCGCCCAGATGCTTTTGCACAGCGCCAGCGTGGAACGACCGGTGATATTTCAAAATAATCAACTGACTGACTTAAATGCTGAGGATTGGTGATGAAATCATTTATCCCCTAAAGTTTGGGTGGCTTTGTGTTCCTTTGCTTCTTACATGCTGTGATATTTAAAGGAGTTCAGTGAGGTACAAGCAAATACTGAGAAATGTTCTGCCTTTATTTATTCAGCCAACTGGTCTGTCCTTTCTCTATCTGCAACTTATAAAGCAACTTATAAAGCATGTTAAACTACTTGATACTGTCTCACAGGTGACTGAGACAATATCTCTTCATTTCTTTGCTCAGCCTTCTTTCTCTTTGTGTTTCAGTCTGAATAGTTTCTATTGTTATGTCTTCAAGTTTTTATTTTTTATTCTTCAGTGTCTCATCTGCTGCTAATTCTAGCCAGTGAAGTTTTCATTATATTTCAGCTCTAGAAGTTTCATTTGGTTCTTTTATTATGGTTGCCATTTCTCTCTCTAGTGTGTTGTTTCTAAGACCTTGAACATGTTTATAATAGCTGTTTTGAAGTTCTTGCATGTAAATTCCATCATCTCTATCACGTCTGGGTCTGCTTCCATTGACTTGCTTTTATCCAGGTTATGGACCATATGTTCCTGCTTTGAATATCTAGTATTTTTTACTGGATGTCTATTCATTGTTAAGTGTCTGGATTTTGTTTTCTTCCATTAAACTTTTTTTGTTTTGCTTTTCTGCAGGTAGTTAAATTAGTTGCAGCGATGGTCACGCTTGAAGCTCTTACTCGAGGGAGGAAGGGGAGCATGGGCAATATAAGTAACCTTAGCACTTATACCCCCATAATACACTAAAATAAAAAAATTAATAAAATAAATAAATAAATAAATTAGTTGCGGAGCCCCTTACCGCTTTAGAATCTTGTTTTTGTGCTTTGCTATGATAAAGATAAGCTTTGTTAACATAAGATTAAAAGTCTAGAGTGTTCTTTCTCTAGGGCCAGTTTAGCCCTACTCTCAAGGTTTGGTCCTTGCTGGGTCTTTATGGAATATCTCAAGTATTCGTCGAGGTCTTTCCACCCTGATGGGTTAGAACTTGAATCCTGTGGGAGTTCCGGGGATTGTTGAGATTATATCTCCCTGGTAGTTTGTCTTTGCTCAACTTTATTGAATTTCACTCTATGCATGTGTAGCTTAGCTTCTTTTAATAGCTATTCACTCTATGGTATCCCTATGGAAATTCCTAGAGCTCTTTCTGTGTATACCATCCCTCTCAACAGTAATCCATGCAGCAAATTCCAGCTGCCTCAGCCTCCCCAAACTTCTATCTCAGTCTCCTCAACCTAATGAGAGTATTACATTTTGCTTGGGTGCTACTTCCTCACACTGTGATCCAAAAACTGCCCTGAGAAAGGCTGGCAATGATAAGGCTCACTTCGTTTACTTTCTTTCCGTTAAGGATATCATCCTATGCTGGCCCTTTGTCTAATGTCTGAAAATAGTTGTTTCTTCTATTTTTTCCAGTTTTCTAACAGTTTTAAACAGGAGGGCAGTACTAGTCACCACATCATGATTATAAGGGGATAATCTCCCTGGATTATTTATTTATTTATTTATTTGTTTATTTATTTATTTATATTTAGAGGTGGGGGGGGGTCTCACTATCTTGCCCAGGTTGGTCTCAAACTCCTGAGCTCAAGCAATCCTCCCACCTGAGCCCTGCAGGTAGCTGGGACTACAGGTGTAAGCCACTGTGCCCAGCTGGATAATTTTTAAACACAGCTTTATTAAGATTTAAATCACCAATTCATCCACTTAAAGTGTATAATTCAATAGTTTTTAATATATTTTCAAATATGTGCAACCATCACCACAGTTTTAGAACACTTTTGTCACCTTAGAAAGAAACCCTAGGGACTTTAAATACTAACACTTTACCCCCTCACCTTCCCTCCTGACCTAAGCAACCACCAAGCCACTTCTTCTCTCTACGGCTTTGCCTATTCTGGACATTTCGTGTGGATGGACTCATATTGCATATGGCCTTTTGTGACTGGCTTTTCTCAATTAGCGTGATATTTCCAATACTTAATCCATGTTGGAACATTTATCAGTATTTCATTCCTTTTTATGGCTGAAGAGTATGTCACTATATGGATATACTACATTTTATTTATCCATTCATGGATTTTTTTTTTTTTTTGAAATTCCAACTGAGTTTTTCTCCCAGTGTTTCTTCCTTGTTGCCTTAATTTCCTTCAAACAGGCATGAGGCTTTTGGCTCATTTCTCCAGAGGGGTCATTTTGGCAGGACAGAAAACAGAGGGAGCCTTCAAGAAAGAATCCCCCAGTCTTTGCTTTTAAAAACTCACTACACAGAACAGGGTTTGAGAGAGAGGCAGCTGCACCCTAGACCAGAGGCAATGCCTGGGAAGACGACAAGTCGCAGGACAGGAGTGGCTTTCCTCGCGGCATGGGACCACGGGCGTCGGGATTTCCAACCTTTCCAAAGCTTCCAGGTCCCATTCCTGGCACAGAAGCCTCAGAGAGCCGCCAGACCAAAAGGGACTAGGTGTCTTAGTGGTGGCTTGTGCGGGCAGATGATAGAACAAGGTGCTCCCATGCTTTGCACCATGTCAGAGCCTAGAAGGTTGGTGCAGCCTGAGGCAGGACCCTAAGCATGATCGAGGTCGAATTTCCTAATAGTCCTGTTAGATGGGAAACTCAGAAAGGACATTAAACTGATTTTTGCAGAAGATAATGACACGTTGACTCTCGAATACCTGATTTTGAGGCCTGAGAGTACACTCATTATGTGAGTTCACTACAATCAAGAATATCACACAAATTTCATACAAACAAAATGTGACTCAGAGGGACAGGATCCTGCTTAGAAAAATGTTTTATATGTTGCCTCATGCCTGTGAGTTTCCCAAATGCAAAGTTTCTGAGTGACCCCTTTCCTATCAGGCAAGATAGCTTTATTATGCAACATGATAATCATTTTTCCCCAAAATAAACTTGTACCAAGGTTTAAATTTTGGTGAAACATAATGCTTTTAATTTTATATTCAGACTGAGCTGATGAACAAATTATCTCATGGCCATGGAAAAGGAAATACATTTGGTAAAACACTGGAGACAAATTAACACAAAGTAAATAGGGTCCCCACGTTATTCATGCCCAAGGATCATGACTCAGTGGATATATATATATACCTAACAGACTGGCCGGTCAGAGCCACAGCCTCGAGTGCCTGGGAGTGCCGGCTCGCACGCCAGCCCCAGCGGAAGGACGGGAGGGTGCAGGATACAGTGATCTGAATCTTAGTCTGTTAATCTGAATCGGTTTAAAGGAAACTCTTCTTGCTTTCGGTTTTAGTAGTGTCGTAATAACGGACTAGTTCTTCCTGAGTGACCACAGCTTGTTCTGTCTGAGAAAACGCATACCCATCTGGAAGAGCAAAGCACAGAGGAATCCGTTAGGAGCACGAAGATCTGGTGAATGTTCTGGTGACAGAAACTGAGACTGCGAACGGGCTGGGACACACACACACACACACACACACACACGGGCCCTGTCGGCCAGGCCAGCGACTAGGGCAGGGAGGTGGCAGGTGTGAGGAGGACGCGGTGACACAGTGCTTTGTACAGCCGGCTGTGATGGGTTCAGACGCGCCCACTCTGGGCCCGCAGCTGCGCTGTGGGGGGTAGGTGGGTGCCGGTGAGTGCCGGCTCCAGCCCTCCCGGGGACGCTCGCTCTGTGAAAGCGCTTGCTTTAGGCCGAGCACATTCGTTTAGATTGGTCTAATTGAGCTCTTTCTCCATACAAGAACCACCAAATTTTTTTTAAAAAATAGATAATACAGGAAGTTTCCATCTATTTTTTATAATTGTAGTAAAATACACATAACATAAATGTCACCATCTTAGCCATTTTTAAGTGTAGTTGAGTGGCTTCATGCACATTCACACCGCCGTGCAACCATCGCCACTGTCCAAAAGCGAAACTTTGCACCCATTAAACTAACACTGCCGTTCCATTCCTCCCTCCTCCCTGCCCCTGGCAACCTCCCTTCTGCTTTCTGTCTCTATGAACTGAACCGCTCTAGGGATCTCATACACATGGAATCATACATATTTGTCCTTTGTGTCCTGCTTATTCCACTTAGCGTAATATCCCCAAGTAGAATGGCCTGCTTTTAGTTACTCATCTTTCTCGTGGGCAGATGGGGTTTCGATGCCATGATCCACCTTACAGTGTGTTACTTACGGGGGGGACTCAGATCAACAGAAGAGCTCTTGAAGACAATTTCGTGGGGCTGGGTAATTAAGGACTTTTGGAGAGTTGCTGCCTTCATCCTGGGAGTAAATCAAATCCAGCCTGGCTTTAGTTCATTGGATTACATCTCAAATGAATTTATTGATGAATCAAGTGACAAGGTAAAGTTAAAAAAACTGTACTCACGTTTTGGAGACTGTCCATATATTAGAAATAAAATAGACATTATCAGAACACTCTCGGCAAGGTGCTGCTTCTAAAATAGTGCTTTGCTGTGAGCATTTGTTAGATACAGCTCCCCGAACATCCTTGGCAAATAGTGGAACTGAACAATGAGTGTCCTGCTAGCCCTCTGGCTTCCCAGACCACCTTAGAGTTTGCGGTGTGTATCTTAAAAACCTCTGTCCCAATTCCTTTCCTGATGGCAAAGTGTGATAAACCACTCTGGGTAAAGACTTGGCAACGTGTGTCGGGAAAGGTCGGCCATAGGCAGCCGGGGAGACCTCCTTCTGCAGCTCCTAAAGCTCACCACAGTGGAAACCCAAGTGTGGAGAAAACAAAAACTCAAGGCTGTGCCCAGACCTCATACGCAAGCCCGGCACAGAAGCCTGCTGTCATTACTGAGAAGGAGCAAGGCACTTCTACTTAGAAGACCATCCAGGCTGTGTCAGACAACTGGAATTTGTCTATCTCTAGGGATAGTTTGGGTGCAGAGATTAAAAATGTTATTGCACATTTAATTCCTATAAACCTCCTGACATTTCTAGCATGCGGCTTGTTCTCTCGATACTATCAAATAAGGACCAGCAGGAGCAGACAGCAACTGCAGGAGCAAGAAGTGTGATGTCTTTCCTTACTCCCGGGCCGTGGGGGAAGGGGAGCCATCGAGATGCTGGAGGGAAGCCTGGTCCTTTCCTCGGGGTGCAGGTCTCTCCTCCTGGATCCCAGCCTCATGTAGGGCGGGGGACAGAGAGAGGACTGCTCTCCGTGCACGTTCAAACCTTCATGCAAAACTCTGCAGAGGGAAGTGGCAGACCCTATGGCCCAAAATAGATACCCATGTCTGTCCACCAGCGGCCAGGGGTTGAGATAACGTCAGTGTGCATAAGCCTCGAGCTCCTTCCATGAGAATCGTGATAAGGGAAGCTTTCTTTAAAAAATATTTGAGGTGAAATGGGTACATTATTTTTTAAAATGAAGCATTAAAAGAAAAACCCTTTTGCGATAACCAGACATTGGAAGGGAAAGCCAACGGAGTCGTCAAAGGAGTTGTGTGAGCCCGTGTGGGGGACAGAGGGCAGGACCCTGTGGGCTGTGGGAAGGACCCAGCTGTGTCGGGGGAGAGGAGAGGCCCGGGCAGCTGAGGAGCAGGGGAGACATGACTAGGTCACGCCAGCAAAGGCTCTGGCGCCTGAGGCCAGCGAGGAGGCGCCTGCAGGGCCAGGGGGTGGGAGGTGGGGGGTGAGGGTGGGGGATGCACAGGTAACACGGCAGAATCCGAGAGCTGTGTCCTTCTCAGTTTATTTTAAAGATGGGATGTGCAGTGGGATAGGAGGGAGAGAAAGAGAGAGAGACTCCACGCCCTTTGGCCGGAGGAAGCGGGAGAATGCACCTGCCATCCCCTGCAGGGGAGCCTTGCAGCTGGGCGGGGAGGGGGCGCTGCACTGCGGGGCCCATGAAGGTCAAGGTGGCTGTCTGACCCGTGCTTAACATACCCGGGCCTGGGAGGGGAAGGTGGGAAAAAGGACAACAAGAGTTCCTAACAAAAATCAGGATAAAAAGGAACAAAGGCCTCACCTGTTTTCAGATATTCTGGGAAGCTCAAATTCTATCACTTTGCCCCTTTCCCGCTCCCGAACCTCCTCTAGAAAAGTCTTGTAGTAGGTATTTCTAATTCTGTACCAAGTGGGAAAGACAAAAAGAACATAACAGGCGAGCTTTGCATGCTGTAATGACTGCTTTCTCCCCGCAATGAACATGCACTTTCTCCCTCCCTGTGCGGCCCGCGCACTCTTTTTCTGGTAGCTTAAACTGTCCGCAGGGCAGTGCGGGACGGAGCTGGGGGGTGCACATAAGCAGCCAGCTGTCCCAAACCCTGCAGCCTCCCGCGAGAGGCTGGGGGTGTCCAGGCTGCACGGGGCCCGACTCCAGAGGGTAGGCCTGCCCGGGCCAGCCAGGCAGGTGCAGCTGAAGAGTCACAGGACTGAGACATGATTGCATGTGGCCTTTTCTACCATTGTCACTGTTTGGGAATCTTGGTGCGTAAGTCCAGCTTCCGCTGTGTGCTGACTCTTGTCCTCACTCCCGTCAGAGAGCCCTGGGCCTAGTGGTGCCACTTATAGCAATTACAGCGCCAGAGTGGACTCTCAGCACTTCAGGTGCCAGTCAGGCCTGCAGACTCTTGACTTGAAAGGTACAAGGCAACCTGTACGGATGCTCACCCCATCATCGGGCTCTAAATCTACACTCAGGCATTCATCATTCATCCACTCGTGCATTCTATAAATATAGTTCTTGAGCTGCCATTGGGCGCCAAAGCAAAAAAAAAAAACCAGACATCTCTACTTTCATAAGGCTTCCAGCACACAGGGGCAGGCAGACAACAGACAAGCAGACAAGTGAGCAAGGCCAGAGGGGCCCACATGGTGCTGTGACAGCACAAGGCAGAGGTGAGGGCTCGTGGAGGCTATCAGCAAGGGCTGCTGTGAGGAAGTGGATTGGAGCTGGGGTCTAAAGGGCAGGTAGGCAGTCACTAGGTGAGAGTGGGGAAGAGCATTCCAGGTAGAAGGTGACACCATGCATCTTAGAATAACATTGTAAAGAATATAAACTGGTGGCTGGGTGCAGTGTGGCTCACACCTGTAATCCTACCACTTTGGGAGGCCAAGGTGAGAGGAGCGCCTGAGCCCATGAGTTGGAGGCTGCAGGGAGCTATGATGATGCCACTGCACTCCAGCCTGAATGACAGAGCAAGACCCTGTCTCAAAAAAAAAAAAAAAAAAAAAAGAGCAAACCTAGATGCTAATGTACAACTGAAGAAAAACACTTGTGTGTATTTGGTGTATCTAAGTGGCATGCTTTGATTAAAGTAACTTTCTAAGCTGCTACCTAGAAAAGTAAGCTACCATCCTCTCCCCTTCCATCAGCAATCAATATTTTAAGGCCTGTGATGTCTCTCTTTTTGCACTGTATTTATCTTTTGCAATCCTCTCTGGCTAAAGTAAAATAATGAGCAAATATATAAACATAAATAAATATAAACAAATAACCCTTTACCAAGCTCTTCTCACAGCTGATCACAAGGTTTACCTACCACCGAGACTTATCAGGGGATTACTGACGGGAAGTATTATCACAAAACAAAAAGGAAGGAAGAGCAGCTAGCCAAATATGGTTTAGGTCTTAGAGAAAAGAAGCCAGACTTGGCCGGGCGCGGTGGCTCACGCCTGTAATCCTAGCACTCTGGGAGGCCCAGGCAGGCGGATTGTTCGAGGTCAGGAGTTCGAAACCAGCCTGAGCAAGAGCAAGACCCCGTCTCTACTATAAAAATAGAAAGAAATTAACTGTCCCACTAAAAATATATAGAGAAAAAATTAGCCGGGCACGGTGGCGCATGCCTGTAGTCCCAGCTACTCCGGAGGCTGAGGCAGGAGGATTGCTTGAGCCCAGGAGTTTGAGGTTGCTGTGAGCTAGGCTGACGCCACGGCACTCTAGCCTGGGGAACGAGACTCTGACTCCAAAAAAAAAGCCAGACTTTATTTTAAAGGTTCCAAAGTTCGTGATTACTCATTATGAAAGTGTATCTTCATCTCAGGGCACTTTTGGACATCACAGCCCAAAGAAAGGTCAGGAATAACAAAGGACAACATTTTGTGGAGCAGCTGAAGTAGAGGCACAGGGCATGTCTATGTTCTATCCAAAATGAACGGTTTTTGTGTTGTGGGGAGAAAGCCGTAGAGAAAGTGCAGACATCTAACACCAATACTCATCTTAATATGGACATCCGTGTTCTGGTTTATCACATTCTCGGTCCAGGGAAGCCTGGCCTCCCCACAGCCCCAGCTCCGCGGCCAGGATCGCCCTGGTGCTGAGTGGGGGGGTTTCTGGCTGCGCACCCAGACTGAAGGTGCCCAGGGAATGGGAAAGGGCTTGTCTGGGGATTTTTTGGTTATGATTGTTTTCAATGAACAAAATTTCATATCTATTAATGCAAAACTGAGTTCATAGCTGTTCTTTAAATTAGAAAGTTGTTTTTCTCCCCAAATGGCAAAAGTTATCAAATAGAGAAAACAATTTTATCTCAGGACAGCAGTGTTTACATTTCAAAGAGGGATGAGGCCTGGAGCCATGAAGATATCGCAGGAATTGGAACCTTAGAGACCGCGTGTTTCATCTCACACCTGGAGACAAATTTACATTCCAAAGGGTGCAAACCCGGGATCCTTCTTCCTTCATTTCTGGAGGATAATTTATTAATTTGTTTTAAAATTAGGAAGCAAAGTTTCCCTCCATTCTCAGGAAGGGAGAGGGGACAGCTGTCATTCTGCAACACAGACTCTCAGGTTCATGCTTTTTGAGTTCCTCTCCTGCAGGGCAGCCTTGGCGCCTGCAGCCCTGTGTGTCCACTCCACACTGTATCGCCCAGGAAGGGGGAGAGACTGGTGCGAGGGGAACCGCTGTGGCCGTTGTCCTGGGTAATAACAGTCTGTCTCTGCCTCTGAAAACCCATGTCTACCTTCAGGATAATACAGATAAATCAGATATTACGAATTTATCAGTACTTTTGCCCCATCTCCCATTGCTAACTTTGCTTTATTTATTAATACCTGCGGCCAAGGCGGGCGGATTGCTCGAAGTCAGGAGTTCGAAACCAGCCTGAACAAGAGCGAGACCCCATCTCTACTACAAATAGAAAGAAATTAATTGGCCAACTAACATATATATAGAAAAAATCAGCCAGGCATGGTGGCACATGCCTGTAGTCCCAGCTACTAGGGAGGCTGAGGCAGTAGGATTGCTTGAGCCCAGGAGTCTGAGGTTGCTGTGAGTTAGGCTGACGCCACAGCACTCACTCTAGCCTGGGCAACAGAGTGAGACTCTGTCTCAAAAAAAAAAAAATTAATTAATTAATTAATTAATACCTCCATGAAGAATTCTTCAAAAGGCTTTTTAAACTCTTAGGCAAGACAATTCTTCTTGAGAGTGGAATGAAAAGACCATGCAAACACACACACACACACACACATACACACACACACACATACACGAGAGGGAGGAGGAGAAGGGGAGAAAAGACAGTGGAGGGGAGGAGGACAAGGAAGAAAATCTGATGTATTTGTTGGAAAACTTTGGGAAATATTCAGTTCTCCTCTTTGGAGACTACAGATAATTATGTTTGCCCTGATATGTAGAGAGATCAGGAAAGAACTGGACATTGAAAAGCAAAATTAATATTATCCCTTTCAGCATATGCCTTTCTCTGTTCATTAATTAGTTTGAAACTTATAATATTTTAGAGCTTTATTATATAGGTATTATAAATATTATTTATAATATTATTATAAATAGGTATTATAAATATTATTATAGGTAAATTATTTTTCATTTTAAAACCATATAATCTCATGGGTACTTTACCTTTAATTTTAGAGATTTCAGAAATTTCTAACACCTTAATTTAAAGCTTTGTATTTATGCTGGACTTGAGAAAAGAATTGAGATCTTCTAATTTAATATTTAAATATTTTGGAAGAATTATATTTGAAAAAAAAAAAAGAATTATATTTGATAAATTCTTACTCCAATTTTTTTGAAAAAGTAAGAATGCTTTTCTATTGAATATCTCCCTCCTATTGCTTATTTTATTGTAAGGTTTTAATCTGAGACTCTCTGGCATCAGGTTTTAACTCCTGTAAAATAGATAAAAGTTATACAAGTCATGCTTTTAGAGAACGGACCTGTTTTCAAAAAAAAAAATCATGAAGTGTGTAATATTACCATCAAATATTATATACCCTTCCATGCGTTTTGATTGTGTATTTTTGTCTACTCTAAATAGACTGTTGGTAAATCTTCAATGGCAAAAAGCAGAGGACATTTAATTCCTTTGAAACTACCATGATATATAATTTTCATAAAGTGGCACTCAGTTTAATTTGAAAGACATATAACTGGAAATGGGTAGTTAAACACGACAGCATATTTTTTGGTTACCACTTCATTTTTCAACTTACGATTTCCATATCACATTTTGGATCAGGCATGCAATGGGGACTACGAAAAAGCCCAGCCAGAAGTGTGGACAAGTCAGGACCATCTCACCCTACAAAAATAAGCAGAAACAAAAAGTATTTAGAGAAGAATCTTTCGGTTTGTCAATACAGAGCACAAGCGCAGCTGTCAGTTTCCTCCCCTCCACCAAAACATGGGAAAAGACATGGAGGCGGTCTCGAAAACTGAACTACTAAATCAACACAGGTGCATGAAACCTAAGTGTCATACAGATGTTCCGTGGTATCTAGCCCTGCCCTGCCTGCAGATACTAAAATTCCCTAGTGCTCAAGTCCCTTCTATAAAGCAGAGCAGGATTTGCATATAACTTACAAATCATCCTATCATATACTTTAACCCTTTTCTAGGTTACTTATAATACTTAATACAATGTCTACACATCACTTCACTGGTGTGGATTCAACACAGTGCTTGCTGTGTGGCAAATGCAAGTTTTGCTTTTGGAACTTTATGGAAATTTTTTCCCCAAATATTTTGGATCTGCACTTTGTTGAATCCATGAATGTGGAACCCACAGATACGGAGGGCTGACTGTATTAGCTATCTTAATTTAATAGTATAATGTATCAATAAGCAACCAAATAAATATTTTGATCAAATAGTTTCTATTCCAGGAATGCAAGGATGGATCAATATTGCATTGCTTAGCAATACAACTTTAACTGCTAGACATTGTGTTTGAAACAAGTATGCCATTATATTCTCCTGAGATAATGCACTCTTCCTTTGGCCCAGCAGATTAGTTGGTGGCTAGCTGATCATTTTAGTTCCATCAGGGACTATACTGATTTGAGACTAGGTAAGGCTCCCTCTACCTCTAGACTGCCTTTAACTCTCCAGGGTTATTTTTCAACTGAGTACCTAGTGTGCTCATTGAATCCCAAACTCTAATATTTGTCTCTGAGTCTGCTCAATCCTCTGCTCTGTTCCAGAGGGTTTCTTCTGATATGTCAGCTTCCTACCTCATGCTGTTCCAGAATTTGCCAACTGAACCGAGGGGAAAACAGGCTGAGTGCCTGGGGTCCCCCAGTTATCTGCCAAAAACTCCACAGGGTATCTGTCTCTGCCTATTTTGTTGAGCTGTATGTTTTGTGGAATTTTTCTATTTATACAAATGTATTGATTTGTTGTGGAAAGTTGTTTGTAATGTCTTCTCATTATATTTTTGATGTCTGTGTTACTTTGGGTTAGCCAAGAAGAAGACACCAAGACAGGCTTACATGAACAGGACATTCACTAGGGAAGGGAACAGGAGAAGGCAGAGAAAGCCTTCAGGCCATGTTGCTGGCCTGATACCCGTGCAAAGAGAGAGAGAGAGAGATGGAAGAAGGCCCAGGTAGGAGGAATCCTGGAGTGTAGCACGGTGCCAAGATGTGTTTGGCTAGTCTGATGTGGAGTCCTCAGTCGAAGTCATCCACTGGAGGAGAAGCCTGTATGCCTGGAAGAGACCTGCCTAATGCCCCACGCTCAGTCCTTGCCTGACAGCAGCTTCCCTGTGGGCGCAGGGAGGAGCCCAGAGGGGCTGGAGCTGGGGCCGGCGGCCAGTGATGGTCCTCAGGGCTGCCACAGTGTCTGATACTGTTAATGATGGTTATTCTCTTCCTTTTTTCCCCATTAATAATCTTGCTAGGGGTTTATCAGTTTTATTAAACTTTTCAAAGAACCAGCTGTGGTCTTTGTTGATTTCCCCACTATGCAACTCTGTCCTGTTTCATTGCTCTCTTTTAGTATTTCCTTTTTCTGGTTTTCTTACATTTGCTTCTCTGTTATTTTTCTAGTGTTTTGAGCTGGAGGCTTAAGTCATGGATTTTTCTTTTTTTCTAACACATGTATTTAAGGCTATAGTTTTCCCTGTGAGAAATGACTTAACTGGGCACCACTGGTTGACTATGTGTTTTCACTCACATAACCTCCACTTGGCTCTTTGCCAAAGGTACCGCAGTGTCTGTTCTTTTTTTGAGTTTGCATCTTTTCCATTTTAATTGTTGTAAATTATTTTTCAGATGGATTTTTATCTCCGCATCTCCAGTCCTTGGGGAATAAATTCTTCTACGACATGTTACGTGATGACTGTCTAAAGAATCCTCCTGTCTTCAGTAGAGGTTTTCTTCTTCCATGGGAATACTTTGTACCTAGAAAAGTAAAGCCCCTGGGGGTGGCTTTATAATGACTTTTTGGGAAGAGTCCAAGGCATTTCATCAAAACCTGGATTAATTTTGGTGCTGTTGTATTATTTGCTTGGGATTCTTGCAGCACATGCAGTGCTGATGTTGACACTCTGACGTGGTCAAGCTTGGGGAAAGGTGTTTCTATTAATATTTCTCACAGAGACCTGGAGCCTAGAACTCAAACAGGTGACGTGCTCTCTGACGCTTCTGGGCAGAGTGAATGGTGATTTTTCTTCTCCCCTTTCAAGATGGAGCAACAACACTTTGGGGCTCCCAGATTACTGTAGTGGCCTCATTTCCCTTACAGATGCCAAAGACAAACATCCGACCCCAAAGACACTGTTGAACTCCAGTTCCCTGTCTCTTAGCCCCATGCCGGTACCCAACACACACTGGACTGCCAACGTCAGCTTACGTTTCTTCCTCTGGCACTGAGCTCCCCCTTTATTTGGGGGGACTGTGGGAATCCTTTATATGTTGAGATCACCTACGTATACAAAATCATTGTAAAATATTTCATCCAGCAAGTGTACTCATTTCTGCTGAGACCCATGTTATCAGAAGCTACACAGCAATTCTGGGATGAGTAAGGATTAGTCAGAGGGGTTGGATAAGAAAGATGATACTCAAAATCCTAAGAAAATAAGGAGGTGAAGATGTGAAAAAGTAGACACAAGTTTGAACCGAGAGGTCCAATTCCCATTGGAATTGACTGCAAGTGTTTCATTGCAACCTTTGGAAAAGCAATTTTAGAAAAGTGGTAGAGGAAAAAACTAAATTTTAGCGGTTTAGGAAAGAACAGGACTTGGGAAGTACAGAGAGCAAGAGGACGCCTCTTTTAAAATATTTAGAGAAAGTGTAGGGAGAGCTGTTGGACGTTCAGTGAAAAATAAAGCCGGTCAAGACAACATTCCCCTTTTGTTTCAGGCATTTATTTTTGGATTAGAAATACTTGATAAACCATCAGTAGAGCGGCATGACAGTCCTAATTTGGACTGTCCCAACTGCTTATCTCCTCAGCTTCAATTATCTACCAAATGTTGATAATTTTCATCCTATTTACATTTTGGACAAGGCCAACTGGTTATGAAGCAGATATAAACTAGGTGATCTTCCCCATAGCTCCTGCTTGTCTTTATTTGTCAGTTGGCTCACTTATTCCTTACAACTCCTGTAGAAGACTGACTGGGGTATGCTCAAGCAATCTTGAGCGCGCACGACGTCCTGAAGCGTTCACTGAGCTCAATAGAATAAAAGAGGGAGCTGAGCTCCAGAGTCCAGCAGAACAAGGATTTCCTTAATGAGCAATCAGAGTGGATGAGAACGTCATCTCTTCTTTCTGTTTCAACCTATTAACTTTAATATTGACCCAAATTAAACCATAGATTGACTTCCTGACCTATCACCTGTGCACAGATTTCCGTCACTAGTTCTGTCTTTCTAATGTGCTCCACAAAGCCAAGAGTCCTCGTGTCACTCAAATACAATCCCAAGTAGCTCGAATCAAAATTATGACCCAGGAATACTGAGACCTTTGACTTTCACATGGAGAACAAATGTGAACCAACGTGCGTAACTTCAGCATGGATGGGGTTAAGTGCAGGAGGTCTGCTTGTCACCCTGGACAAGGAAATGAGGAATTTCTGGCACGCCGTGTCAAATCAGGGTGGAAAACTTTTTCTCGGAAGCGTGCATGATGAAATCAACAGATCTTCTCTACGTAAACACATTGTATGTCTTTGCTGGTGAACCCTGGCAGTTCTGCTAAAGCTAAGAAGGCTTTTTATTGAATAGAAACAGAAACAAACAAAAATAAGTAATTAGATGAATGTCTTTGAAACACGTGTGAAGGAGTTAGTTTTCACTCTTTCTAGATCCGAGTATACTTAAGAACTGAAACAATAAATACCATTAACACCTTGGATCCAGAAACAGGTAGCTTAAGCCTAGAATAAGTTACTGTTGGCTCCCTCAGCGGAGAATGGTTTTCTCTAGATGCGTACATGGGAAGGTACATTGGGAAAAAGACTTTCCAACAGGTAATTTGTCATTATGTGCATTTCACTGAGGATCAAGTAAAAAATAACATTTAATATCTAAACCACAAAAAACCTGTGTATTCCCTCATTAAAAATCCCAACTTACATTTAAAACATTCAGAAACATGTAGGAATACCAAATTTTAAACTCATTTAATACAAAATTTATGACAATATAAATATTCTCTCCTAAAGTGGGAATAAAATCAGCTTATCATCATTCTTTACTATATTGCTTCTTCTACCACATTTATGAATTAAGGTTTATTTTAAAATTTCATTTTGGTAACAGTTTTAAGTAATAATTGACATACAATAAACTGCACATATTTAAAGTAAACAATTTGATATGTTTTGACATGTATTATACCCATAAGATCATTACCACCATCAAGAACCCTCATAGGCCAGCGTGGTGGCTTACACCTGTCATCCCAGCACTCTGGGAGGCCAAGGTGGGAGGATCATTTGAGGTCAGGAGTTTGAGACCAGCCTGAGCAAGAGCGAGACACCGTCTAGACTAAAAATAGAAAAAATATTAGCCCGGGATTACAGGCAGGGATTACAGGCATGTGCCAATGCATCTGGCAAAATTTTTTCCTTGATTGGTAACCATGCATGCATTACCAAGTACCAAATAATTTGAGCATACAGCACACCTGCATGAAAAACATAATTGTAATATTAGCTGTTTTAAAATGATTCAGACATTATTACACCTTTTCTCAGTTATGCACAAAAAAATATAAATTTTGGAAAGGGTAGTTAATGCAGTTAGTTTGAAGTAATGAGATTTTAGATGCAACAATCTCTATTACAACCACGCCAGAACTTAACTGGATCAGCAGCTACTTCTCATTGCTTTGATTTTGTATTTTCTCGCCAAATTACCTTGAAAGTAGGTAACACCAGCATTTATTGTTACTGAACATAAGTTTTCATGAGGCATGTAAATCATGGTCATGGTTGGTAGAACTAACCTGTCCTGTCATCTCAGGGGCAATAGGAATGGTTGGCCAGAAGTTAGAGTAACTGATGAGAAACACCAGCCAGATGAGTATGCTTCCCCAAATTGCCATATGACTAAACTGCAGGAAAAAAGAGTATCATAGAAACACTTTAGTCTTTTTTTGTTTAAAAGAAAAAGATTTATTTAACTCTATCAACCAACAAAATAAGTTTGTCCAGGCCACATGTTCTTATGTGAAGATACTGATAATCTTTCAATTACTGGAGACTTGAGACTCCCTGGCTAACATACATATCAGAATGTCCTGCTGTGGACTCAAGAAACCACTTGAAACAACAGTACCTTGGTCACCCGAGCCATGTGGCATTCAGTGTCTTCAGGGAAAACAGTCAACTCTCAATCAGAAGTGGTTCATACAATTGATGAGTTACTTAATGAGACTACCTGCTTCTGCCGGCTTATTCGTATAAAACTTTCTTCAGGAAAAATGCTTGAATAGAAATCATTGAGAGAGAGAGAGAGAAATCTGGCCATAACTGTATGTCCTGTGAATATGCATAGCTCTGAAACAATGGCATAAGCTGTGATTCTTTGACTGACCGAACTACGCACAGGAGCCTGGGAGAGACTTTGGCTGGAAGATCGTTGGCCACGTCTGGGTCCAGGAATTTGTGCCAAATTCTATAACGGTAAATACTAAGGAGGTAACTTCTATTTCTCTGATCTGTTGCTTTGTGCTAGCAGAGGAATGTTAAGGGAATGCCTAGAAGACTCTGTCCTAAACTTCTGGCCATGCTGGGTGCAGATTTATTTTTTTATTTATTATCAATATACCAATATATCAATAAAGCAATTAGCTACACTAGATGATTTCTCAATGGCTCCAGTGATTTCATCCTATTAGGCTGCTCATTAATTAATTTTGTCTCAACAGTAAAAATGCTAAGGGAAAAACCTAATCTGCAATTGCTCTTTCTATTTCTCAAGGTATTTCTTAATATGTGTCTGTGAGGCACCTTCAAAGACCATTTTCCAAGGTCCTTAAAAGTAACTTGTTAGCCAAACGATTCTTCTCTCTGGTTACAGGAGACAGAACTGCAGGGGGCGGGGGGGTGTCTCCCTGGGATCCCACGTGGGAGACGCTGGAGAAGGGGATCAGCTCAAAACTGGAGACTTTAAACTTTCAAAAACTTCAATGTGGGTAGACACATTGATGTTTGGTAAGGTGGGGGGTGGGGGGGCGGGAGAGGAATTGCAGGGGCAATATATATAACCCTAACAACATTTGTACCCCCATAATATGATAAAATAAAAGGAAAAAACCAAACAAACCAATGAAAAGATAAAAGAAAAAAAATTATATGATGAAATATATATATCATATATTTATATATTATATATAAATTATGAAGTCTAAAAAAAAAAGAAAATCTTTTAAGAATGATGAAGCATTGAGCATAAATGATCCTTGGCTTGCATTATAAAATGTGTTTTATTGGAATTCTGATATAGGAAAACAATTTAAATTAATCAGCCTTTTAAATAAAACTTAACTAAAAAAAAAACAAAACTTCAATGTGTTTTCACGCAACTACTCCCTTGTAGTGGCGGCAGTGTAGTGGGCTGCAAGTTGCCGTGCCTGCGTTGTTCAAGGGGTGTTTTCAGACGGGTCTCCGTTAGGACTATCCCAGTGGGACAGCCAAAAGTGAGACCAGTCCCTTCCCTTTCTTGACTTCTCCCCGGGCTCCTTCTTAACACTCTGGGGGCTGGAGGCCAGGAGCCCAGTGTGGCCGGGCCAGGAGGGAGACCTCTGCTTTCTGCTAAGTCTGCTTTGAACTTGGAATAAATAAATAAATAAATAAATATACACGAATAAGTAAATGAGATTCGCTATAAGTGATCATGGATCTAAGAAACACTCTTATTGAAGAGAATTTAACGAATAAAAGAAAAAAAATGGTTTCATTTCCTTTAAATTATAGAAAATAACTGTTTCTATATTTATGTCACATCGCTGTGATACAACACCACACTTACAATTAGTATGCCTTATGAATTACTTCATAAAATATTTTTGTTTAAAAATCCTCAGCTCCAACGTAGTGTTGATGTCCAGTTGGGCGGATAGCAGCAGTCAGAACTCTGAACTGATCGCATCAGAGAAGAAATATGTGACATGCTGAAATTCTTGAAAGGTGACAAGCCTCTAAAAATGTATTTTTTCTCATAAACTTTTTTAGTACAAGTTGGAAAACAATTCATTCATAGCTGTGAATGTATATGAATATACGTATTCACTTATATTATTGATAAGTTCATAAAAAATAAAACTGTTTAACTAGACATTCCACTTTTTATAATAATCTAAGGAAAGTATTACTCATGTCTGTAAATACACAAGTACACATATGTTTGTAGCAGTATTGGTTGTGTATTATTTATAATAACAAAAGTTCAAACATTTATTGTAAAAATAATGTAAATAATAAACATTCACGTGATGAAGTGTGATCCATCACTCAATGAGATATAAAAATTAAAGACATGGAAAAATGTTAAAGATCAATTAAGGGAAAAAAGTAAGTTATAAAATATTAAGTAAATTATGATTCTATTTTTGTGGGGAAAAAAGCATGCACAGAACACAGACTGAAAGAATAACAACCAAAATGGCAGTATCATTCACACTGAAAGGTATGGACAATATGCATTTCCTTCTTTTACTGTATTAGTTACATTTCCTGTTATAATTTTGTACTTGGATAACAATAGTAAATGAAGGGTCTCAATTAATGGCATGTTAAATTGGATCTATTTCAAATGTAAGGCAGAAAAAACAAATATCCTAAAGACATTAGATACTTCATCGCTCAAACATGTAAAGCAAAAGGAAGTAAAATATGGAGACCAGAAAAAAATGCTTATTATTTTTTTAACACTTAAAGATAAATCAGCATACAAACAGCAATACTGGATTGCGGAGAAATCCTAAAGAATACTCACCTTATTCCAAGACATCGTCTCCAACCCAGCCTTCAGACAGACGGTAACAACTACATACTGTGCGAGGTGAGATGGGAAGGGGAGAAAGAGATTGGAAAAGATATATTAAAAGTTGCCTTTAGAACCCACGTCTCCCCACTTGTTTCCTGACCCTCTTACCCCAGTTCTGCTACATGTCTGGTGGGCTCTGACGTCACTAAGTTGCTAAGTGTTGCGCTAGGTTTTGGTTCTGGTGAGGACACAGTGTTTTTCAAGAAAGGATCAATGTTTAGAAACCGTTTAACATATGACTAAAATCAATGCTTCTACCACAAGCTCTTATATTTGCATTCCATGGAAGTAGCGTAGAAGACCCGATTCTACCTAGAACCCCCAAGTGTTATTTATGAAAATATAGATGAGCAGGATAAATTGAAACCACTATAAATCAAAGAGTGTCTTCACTATTTCTTGGCCTTTTGTATTTCTATATATATATTAGAAATAGCTTATCAAGCCTCGGATGCTTTTGATTGCGATTACAACAAATCTATAAATCAATCTGAGGGGAGTTGACTTTCTTACAGTATTTAGTCTTCCTCTCAGCAAACGGGGTATATTTCTCCATTTAGATGTTCTTCATGTCTCCAATAAAGTTTTATGATTTTTCTCAAAGAAGTCTTAACCATTACTTGTTAGATTTATTCAAGTTCTTTTCATGTTTGATACTATTGTAAAATATTTAAAATTTTTGACTATTCTAAATATTTGTGCTGATAAATTAAAATATAATTGATTTTTAAATATCAGTACCAGTATAAGCTGCCAATTTCTTTTATTAATTATAATATTTTATCTATAGAATTTTTTATATTTTCTATGTATACATTCATATCATCTAGGATTTAAAACCAATTTTTTTCTTTCCAAATAGTATAAATAGAGTCATCCTTCTGTATTCGTGGGTCCATGTCCACGCAGGCAACTAACCATAGCTCAAAAAAATTTGAAAAAAAAATGGTTTAGTTGCATCAGTACTGAACATGTACAGAATTGTTTTTCTTGTCATTATTCCCTAAACAAAGCTGTATAATAACTATTTACATAGCGTTTACATTGTATTAGTAAACTACAAATAATTATTATAAATAATCTAGAGATGATTTACAGTATATGAGAGGATGTGCATAGGTTATAGGGACTTGAGCATCCACGGAGTTCGATATCCACGAGGGTCCTGGAGCCAATCCCCCATGGATATGGAGGGACGACTGTGCTTCTTATTTCATCTCCTTGTCTTATTACACTGTTGAGAAACTCCACCACAGTGCTGAATAAGGGTGATAATAATGAGCATCTTTGTCTTATTGCCAATCTTAAAGAAAAAGCTTTCAATGTTTCTCATTAAGTGCGATTTTATCACAATGTGGGTTTCTCAGGGAGCAAGACAAGTGTGATACACTGAATGTTACAAATCCTGCTTTTGAAGTAGGCGGCCACAGTAAAATTAAGTACCAAGCAGACTGCTAAAGCCCCTGAGTCCAAGCCTTAGTTCCTGGAAGGCATTGCTGGACCCATCCTGGGCCAGAAGGAAACATGCTCTGAAGGGAGGGACCCAGTCCTGGCAGGATTCACCACCTGCTGGCTAAAGAGCCCTTGGAATTCGAATAAACATCTTAAAAAATTTTTAAAAACTGAAATCTTTCCAAGTATTTTTTCTGATCACAAAGGAATAAAACTAGAAATCAATAATAAGAGGAGCATTGGAAACTACACAAACACATGGAAATTAAACAATTTGCTTCTGAATGAGCAGTGGGTAATGAAGAGATTAAGAATGAAATTGAAAAATTCCTTGAAACAAATGAAAATGAGAACACAACATATCAAAACCAATGGCATATAGTAAAAGCAGGAATAAAAGGAAAGTCTATAGCAATACGTGCCTACATCAAAAAAGTAAAAAGCTTCAAATAAACAATCTAATGCTGCATCTCAAAGAACTAAAAAAACAAGTGCCAACCAAACCCAAAATTAATAGAAGAAAAGAAATAATAAAGATCAGAAAAGAAATGAATGAAATTAAAACAAAAATATAAAAAAATGAAATTGAAAAAACTATGAAAGATCAATGAAACAAAAAGTTTTTTAAAAAATAAACAAAATTGACACACTTTTAGCCATACTAAGAAAAAAAGAGAGAAGATTCAAATAAATAAAATTGGAGATGAAAAGGGACATATTACAATTGATACTGCAGAAATCCAAGGGATCATTAGAGACTACTGTGAGCAACTATATGCCAATAAATTGGAAAACCTAGAAGAAATGGATAGATTCCTAGACACATACAACCCACCAGGATTGAACTAGGAGGAAAGCCAAAACCATTAATAAGTAATGAGATAGAAATGTAATAAAAAGCTTCCCATCAAAGAAAAGCCCAGGACCCGATGGCTTCGTTGCTGATTTCTACCAGGCATTCAAAGAAGAACTAATACCAATTCTACTTAAACTATTCCGAAAAATTATCGAGGGGGATAGTTCCAAACTCATTCTATGAGGCCTGTATCATCCTGATAACAAAACTGGACAAAGATACAACAAAAGAAGGAAACCATAGGTCAATATCTCAGATGAACATAGATGTAAAAATATTCAACAAAATACTAGTAAAGCAAATTCAACAATACATTTAAAAGGTTATTCATTATGATCAAGTGGAATTCACCCTAGGGATGCAAGGATGGTTCATCATACACAACTCAATCAATGTGATACATCATATCAATAGCATGGAGGACAAAAACAATCTGATCATTTCAATTGACACTGGAAAAGCATTCAATAAAATTCAACATCCCTTCATGATAAAAACACTCCAAAAACTGGATATAGAAGGAACTTACCTCAACATGTTAAAAGCCATATATGATGGACCCATGGCAAGTATCGCACTGAATGGGGAAAAATTGAAAGTCTTTCCTCTAAGATCTGGAACAAAACAAGGGTGCCCACTCTCAACACTGTTGTTCAACATAGTACTGAAATTTCTAGCTAGAGCAACCATACAGGAGAAATAAAGGGCATCCAAATTGGAAAGGAAGAAGTCAAACTATCCTTGTTAGCAGACAATATGATCTTATATCTAGAGAAACCTAAAGATTCCATAAAAAAAAAAACTATTAGAACTGATAAACGAATTAAGGAAAGTTGCAGGATATAAAATCAACACACAAAGATCAGCAGCGATTCTATATACACTAACAGTAAAGAATCTGAAAGAGAAACCAAGAAAGTGATCTCCTTTATAATAGCTACAAATAAAATAAAATACCTAGGAATAAACTTAAAGAAGTGAAAAAGCTCTATAATGAAAACTATAAATCACTGATGAAAGAAATTGAAGATGACACACAAAAAAATGGAAATATATTCCATGATCATGGATTGGAAGAATTAATATTGCTAAAATGTCCATGCTACCCAAAGCAATCTATAGATTCAATGCAATTCTCATCAAAACACCAATGACATTCTTCACAGAAATAGAAAAAACAATCCTAAAATTTATATAGAACCACAAAAGTCCCAGAATAGCCAAAGCCATCCTGAGCAAAAAGAACAAAACTGGAGGAATCACATCACTTAATTTCCAATTACACAACAGAGCTGCAGTAACCAAAACAGCATGGTATTGGCACAAAAATAGATACATAGACCAATGGAACAGAATAGAGAATCGAATAAATCCACACATCTATGGTGAACTTAACTTTGACAAAGGTGTCAAGAATATATATGGGGAAAGGACAGTCTCTTCAATAAATGGTACTGGGGAAAACTGGATATCCATATGCAGAAGAATAAAACTAGACCCCTATCTCTCGCTATATATAAAAATCACATAAAAATGGATTAAAGGCTTAAATCTAAGATCTGAAACTATAAAACTTCTAAAAGAAAATATTTAGGTGACTACTTCAGGACATTAGTCTGGGCAATGATTTCTTGAGTATATCCCCAAAGCACAGGCAACCAAAGCAAAACTGGACAAATGGGATTACATCAAGCTAAAAAGCATTTTCCTTTGCTATGCAGCAAAGGAAACAATCAACAAAGGGAAGAGACAACCCACAGAATGGGAGAAAGTAATGGCAAATATCCATCTGGGAAGGGACTAATAACTGGAACATATAAGGAGCTCCAGCAACTCAACAGGAAAAAAAATCAAATGATTCAATTAAAAATGGGCAAAGGATCTGAATAGACATTTCTCAAAAGAAGACATACAAATGGCCAGCAGGTATATGAAAAAAATTCTCAACCTCATTAGTCATCAGAGAAATGCAAATCAAAACTACAATAAGATATCATCTCACCCCAGTTAAAAATGGCTTTTATGAAAAAGATAGGCAATAAAGGATGCTGGTGAGGATATTGAGAGAGGGAACCCTCATACACTGTTGGTGGGAATGTAAATTAGTGCAACCACTATGGAGAACAGTATGGAGGTTCCTCAAAAAACTGAAAATAGAACTACCATATGATTCAGCAATCCCACTGCTGGGTATGTATCCAAAGTAGGGGGAATCAGTATATGGAAAAGATATCTGTATTCCTATGTTTACTGCATCACTATTCATAATAGCCAAGATTTGGAGTCAACCTAAGTGTCCATCAATGGATGAATGGATAAAGAAATTGTGGTACATGTACACAATGAAATATTATATAGCCACAAAAAGAATGAAATCCTACCATTTGGAACAACATGAATGGAAATGGAGAACATTATGTTAAGTGAAATAAGCCAGGCATGGAAAGACAAATCTTGCATGTTCTCACTCAAATGTGGGAGAGCTTAATATTAAAAACAATTGATCTCACAGAGACAGACAGAATGATTATTCTGATTATTACCAGAGGCTGGGAAGGGGAGGGGAGGCAAGGGTATGAAACAGAGCTGGTTAATGGGTGAAAAAATAAGTTAGATAGAATGAATAATATTTGATAGCGTAACAAATTGAATATATTCAACAATAAGTTAGGGTATACTTTATAATAACTAGAAGAGTGGAATTAGAATGTTCCTGACACAAAGAAATGATAAATGCTTGAGGTGATGGATATCCCAATTACCCAAATTTGATTAATTCCTATTGTGTGCCTATATCAAAACACCACATGTACCCTCTAAAGATATACAACTATTATGTATCCATAATAATTAAAAAGAAAAATAATATACAGAATATATATTGACATGACAAAAATATCATGAAAAGTGAAAATGTGAAACTGGGAAAATATTTTATAACAAATATGAGAAAAAAAGAACATCCTTAACATACAAATAATTACTCTTAATTAATAAGAAAATACACCTCCTAGCACTCTGGGAGGCCAAGGCAGGAGGATTGCTTGAGCTTAGGAGTTCGAAACTAGCCTGAGCAAGAGTGAGACCCCATCTCTACTATAAAAATAGAAAGAAATTAATTGGCCAACTAAAAATATATGAAAAAAAAAATTATCCAGGTATGGTGGCGCATGCCTGTAGTCCCAGCTACTTGGGAGGCTGAGGCAGAAGGATCGCTTGAGCCCAGGAGTTTGAGGTTGCTGTGAGCTAGGCTGATGCCACAGCACTCTATTCCGGGCAACAGAGTGAGACTCTGTCTCAAAAAATAAAAATAAAAAATAACAAGAAAAAACACCAACAACTCAAGAGAACAATTGGTAAAGTAAATCAACAAGTTGTTCTCAGAAAAAGAAATGGAAATCATTGTTAACCTTATATAGATATGCTCACTCTTAAAGCAAAACTGCAATAGGATATAATTTCACCTATTGGATCAAAAATGTGATAAGACCACTTCCCATGGATGCTTGGGGAAACTGACATTATTATCACTAAATTCATGCTACCTCGTTGAAGGAATATTTGATAATATCTTTCAAAGTTCGCAATGCCCACTGATCCAGCAATTACACTTATAGAAATTTTTACTACAGATATATTTACTCATGCATATAAAGAATAGTCTTTTTGGCATTGTTCATAATGACCAAGGCCCAAAAACAACCTTAATGTCTTCTGACAGGAGATTGGCTAAATGAATAATGGTGAGTTATTCTCACAAGCAGCCCTGAAAGGATGAGATAGACAATTTATAGGCTGATTTATAACCACCACCATGGCATACTGCGTAGTGAAAACATAAGATACAGAAGACCATTCCCCTACTTGTACCAAAACCAGGGGAGGTGGGTAACATACATGTGCATATTTCTACATTTCACATTTCTAGAAATATATATATGTATATACACAATCGCGATAATAGTTTCTTCTTGGAAAAGGTTTTTAAGTGTGAGGAAGACTACAAGTTCATGGGATGTTGTCTTGTAATTCTTGAATTTTTCTACTAAAAGCTAGGATAAGTGATTTAATGTACATAGATGATCTTACCGTATAAATGAAATTTCCAAGAAATAAATAGTCTGTAGTGTAACCACGTTGTAAGACAGTATCTGAAAAGTAAAAAAGTCATTTTTATCTTTATAGAGTCCAAACTACAGATTTCGAATTTATTTTTACCACAGGAAACCATACTTGGCACCACAAAATATTTATCCATTATTGGTTATATTTCTAAATTTCCCTGACAATGACAACATTGCTTCTTTTGTGTATCACAATTGTTACATTTTTTTCTATCTCTTACTATCTCTAAAGATATATTAAGTAACAAATTAATAAAAACATCACAAGGAGTACCTGAATGTAATTATTAAATCTAGTTTTACATGCATCTAAACCATCTGGTACAACCTCTACATTGAAAGTCAAACAGTCTAGTGAGAAATGTTAGGTAACAAGACTGGGACTTTAAGAATTTTTTCATATTTTTGCACTATTTCTTTTCTAGGACTACTAAAATAATAAGTGTAACAGATCATTTGAAGTTATGACATAATTTCATAATTTTCTTCAACTACTGCTAAATCTGTCATAAAATTTATGAATTTCATCCTCTACGAAGGATCAATACTGTCTCAAGATTAAGGTGATTTATTCATATCTTCTTGACACTTTTTTAAAAATCTCAAATATATATTGGTAGTCTCTGATCCTGGTTGATATAGAAATTTTGGAATGCAAATTCCTGACCCTAATACCAATTAAGATAGTATACTCATGTACTTGAAACTCATTTATTCTGTTTTCTCCTGAGTTAGAACCCATTAAAATACTCAAGGCTTATACCCTTTGATAAAACTACATGAAAGGAAATATTTAGGGCATCTGACTGAAGGAAACTACAGATAAATATGTGTGTCAGGTTGGACCAGATGAGAGAATAACTATCATGGTCTGGGTTGTGTATTGACCTAAACTTGGTGAATTTTACCAGGAATGGGATAATAGTGCAGATGAGAACAATATTGTAATCTACTAGAAAAGGGAAGATAACTACCACATAGGAAGGTGACATTTGGTTATATTGCCCAGATACGTATTCGCAAAGGAGAGAGAGTACACGCTACACTGAGACAGAAGGAAAACTTCCAGCGTGAGCACAGTGGTGAGAAACAGAAGTTCCTTTCCTTCTGGATATTATACAAAATCAACAATGCAAACAGAGAAAGTCTCCACAAAATCCATGTCACGGAAACAAACAAACAAACAAATCCATAGATTCAGAAGCTAATTAAATTAGGGCTTCCAAGGAGTTAAGGCGAGCATAGAAAATGTGCTTGGTAAGTGGCAGTAAAAGTTCTCTGATAGAAAGTAACTGTCAAACTGGCGTAGGGGAGCAGAACTCAGAAAACACTGGCAAAAATGCACTCCTTAAAAACGCCTTTTTCAAATAGCTGGGACAGTTGACCCTTGAACATCGTCGGTGTGAGCGGTGCAGGTCCACTTCCATGAGGATTTTCTTCTAGCTCTGCCGCCCCTGAGGAGACACCAACAACCCCTCTTTCCCCTCTCCTCCTCAGCCTACTCACCATGACAACGGCAAGGAAACAGACTTTTATGATGATCCGGTGTCACTTAATGAATAGTAAATATATTTTCTCTTCCTTTTGATTTTCTTCATAGCATTTTCTTTCCTTTAGCTTATTTTATTGTAAGAATACAGTATATGATACATATAACATACAGGAATATGTGTTAATTAACTGTTTATGTTGTCAGTGAGGCTTCTGGTCAAGAGTAGGATGTAAGTTGCTAAGTTCTTGGGAAGTCCAAAGTTATACTCAGACTTCTGACTGCACAGGGGCAGGACCCCTAACCCCTGCATTGTTTAAGGGTCAACCATGATTCCAGTGAAGAACAATATAAAGGAAACCTGCATAGCACCCATAGGAAGAGACTATTTTGCAAGAGGCAGAATGTTCCATTTCATGATTTGTGTGGTTATTATTCATTTCACTATATATCTATGTCTTATGTATAAATTATGTTTATAAATGGCTTAAAAGGAAATGATTGGAAAAGAGCAGCAAAACTTACCAGATGATAAATGCTTACAAGAGAATATTGCAACAAAATCCTATTAGAACCAGCCCACAAAAAATTGATTGGAGAAGCTGGAACAAAAAGACTTGTTGAGAGCATTTGATATACTTAACTGTAGAATTAAGACTAAAAAAGAAAAAAAACCTAAATGTGCTAGAATGATCAGTTTGGTTGTTGTTATGTGCCTACACGATGTGTAAATGATGCAATTTTATATAATATGCAATGGCACAGGTGATGGAGATGAGAAGTAGAATAAATTTGCAGATGGTCTCATCTGTAATAACTGCAAATCAATAAAGAACTTTCAAAGCCAACAAATCAAGAAATGGAATTATAAGTATATTTAACAGCACAAAGGTATGTCACATGCAAGATAATGGAATGCTAGGGGAAAGTGAAGGAAGAAGGAAGAGAAATATGATAATTTTATCATTATTCATATGAAGAAACAAATGGATTTGTCTAAAGAAATAGAGTGGTTTTTACATAAACTTATAACAAAACATTCAAACCTTCCTGAATATCAGAAGACTACACAAAAAAGCAAGAAAAACCGATCTCATAATTAAAGATTACAAAACTATATTACAGGCCGGGTGTGGTGGCTCACGCCTGTAATCCTAGCACTCTGGGAGGCCGAGGCGGGCGGATTGCTCGAGGTCAGGAGTTCGAAACCAGCCTGAGCAAGAGTGAGACCCCGTCTCTACTATAAATAGAGAGAAATTAATTGGCCAACTAATATATATAGAAAAAACTAGCCGGGCATGGTGGTGCATGCCTGTAGTCCCAGCTACTTGGGAAGCTGAGGCAGCAGGATTGCTTGAGCTCAGGAGTGTGAGGTTGCTGTGAGCTAGGCTGATGCCACGGCACTCACTCTAGCCTGGGCAACAAAGCAAGATTCTGTCTCAAAAAAAAACCAAAAAAGTATATTACAACAGGAAATGCAAAGTCATATGAGATATCGCAAACAAAACCTATTTTTAAAAGATAAATTTCAGATTGCATCTCAAAATAAAATCAAATTCTATGCTATATACAAGCAACACATCTAAAAAGTAATTTGTGAAGTTTGACAAATAAAAGATGGTCAAGGAAAATACAAATTATTAATAAAGGCATGAGACATCACGTTAACATTAGTTACAAAGAAATTGAGATCAAAAAGAATTAAACAAGACAAAGAAGGATACTTTGTCAAACCAAATGGTACAAGTTATGATGAATAAGAAACAGGTAGGAGTATTGGTGCAATAAATAATAAACATTTCTAAATCACAGGTTATGAGAAATAAAAAGGAAAACAGATATGATAGCAGTAGAAGACTTTCAGTTACCTTTCTCAGTCCATGACAGATCAAGAGACAAAAATTAAGCATGACCAAGACTTCTTCATCCACCCATGAAGAAGTAACAGGGTTTTCTCTCCTACCATAGTCAATTAGAAAATTTGACAAAATATATGAAATAACTTTTTTTTTTCAGATATTGGGGAAAATGTAGCACAGAACTTTGATTTGTGAAAGTAAAAAATTGAGTCCTACCATTGGCCTTGCTTCATACCTGGAGGCAATCTCTGCACTACTGCGCAGGGAGGGAGAGCCCAGAGAGAGCTCATTTTTGCTGCGTTAATGAGACACATTGGACCTTAGAGAGGCCAAGTAGCTGGAACTTGCAGAACAGAATATGGAAACTATCCAAAGAATGACCTCCAGAAATTCACAGAGGAGTCCTCATAAGCCCTTAGCTGAATGCCAGTCTGCTTATGTGTACTGAGAAATACCACAAGGCCAGCAAAGAACAACTACCATGGAAAAATGAATTACCATAGAACTGCAAGCTGAAAAATTGTGAGATCTAATATAGACATAGGAATTGCTCCAGTTTCCATAAGCCAAAGTGAAAAGACCTTGTTCAATACACGCAGCATTCAGTAAATACCCAAAATGGGATAATCTCAGGAAAGGAACTAAATTGTCCTAGAGTAAATGATACACTAGACTCAACTTCAAAAGACGAAAAACAAGTTTTCAAAGGATCAAACTGATCCACAGGCAACTTGACTGCTGGCCAAAACAAAGTCCAGTTGTTTAAATGTACGCAACAAAATTCATAATGTCCACCATCCATTATAAAATTATGACATGCAGACAAAAGCAAAAATTCGATCCATAACCAAGAGAAAATTGTGAATAGAAGCCAATTCAGAAATAATAGAGATGATAGAATTAGCAGAAGTCTTTAAGGTAAATACTGCAAACATGCTTATGAATTTGAAGAAAAATATGAACATAATGAGGTGAGAAATGAAAGATATGAAGAATAACCAAATAGAATTTCTAGGGATAAAAATAGTAACACATGAAAAGAAAATGTCACTGAATTGTGCTGAACAGCAGAGACACTGCTAAATAAAACATCAGCGAATTTAAAAACATTGGAAAAGAAACTAAAAATAACCAAAAAGAGAACAAAGATAGTTAAATTTATAGTTAAATTTATTCCTAAGTATTTCATTCATTTTGATTCAATTTCATTTTTAGTTTTATTTCTCTTGTGTAGAAATAAAATTGATTTTTGTATATTGATCTTGTACCCTGAAACCTTGCTTAATTTATTAGGAGCTTATTAGTTCTGACAGTATTTTAGTAAATTCTTTAGTTTTTTATATATAAAAATTATGTCACATGCAAATAGAGTTATCATTTTACTTCTTCCTTTCTAACCTGGAAAATTCCATTTTCTTGCCTAATTGTAATAACTAGAACCTCCAGCACAATGGTAAATAGAAATGGTAGAAATAGCATTTTTTATCTTGTTCCTGACTTTGAGAGTGAAACCTTCAGTCTTTCACCATAAGCATGATGTTAACTATGGGTTTTCATAGATGTCCTTTATCTTCAGTATTATTTGAAAAGTGAGTTTTCCAACAACAAATTCTGTCACATTTTGTTTATTTTGGAATTTATTTATTTTGCCTTCACTTTTTTCTTAAATAGAAGTGAGGTCTTGCTATGTTCCCCAGGCTGGTCTCGAACTCCAGGTCTTGTGTGATCCTCTCACCTCAGCCTCCCAGGTAGCTGAGATTACAGGCATGCACCACTGTGCCTGGCCTTATTTTGCCTTCACTTTTAAAGGATCGTTTTGCTGGGCCTAACAACCAATTTTTGGTTGACATTTTTTTTTTAAATCTCAGAACTTTAAATTTGTCATCTCACTGACTTCCAGCTTCCATTTTCTCTGAAAAGAAGTCAGCTGATACTCTTATTGGAGCTCCCTTGTACATGATGAGTCATTTTTATTTTGCTGCTTTCAACATTTTTACTACAATGTGTGATTGTGGATCTCTCTGCACATATCTTACTTGGAGTTCATTGATCTTCCTGGATGTGTAATGTTTTTCAGCTAGTTTGGGAATTTTTCAGCTATTATTTCCTTGAATATTTTTTCTGCTCCATTATTTTCTCCTCTTGTACTGGTAACTCCCATTGTGCTTACATGGGTGTGTTTAAAGGTTTCTCAATGAGGCTCAGTTCATTTTTCTTCATCCTATTTTTTTCTCTGTTCTTTAGACTGCATACCCTCTATTAATCTAACTTAAATTTCAGTAATTCTTTCTTCTTCTAGTTCAAATCTATTGGTGAGCCCATCTAACAAATTTTCTATTTTGGTTATTGTACTTTTAAACCCCAGAATTTTCATTTGGCTCTTTATTGGAATTTCTATCTACTTATTAATAATCTCTATCTAATAAGTCATCGTCTTCATACCTTCACACCTTCAAGCATTATTTTTTTTAGTTCTTTGAACATGTTTATAATGGTTATCTACAATTCTTTGGAAATGTGTTTTTCATCAGAATTCTTGACTCAAATATTAGAGATTAACAATAAAAGCACTAGTTCTCAATTTAGACATGTTAGAGGCAAGAGGATGGGTTCTAAAGGTCAGCTCCGACCTTTAGACCTAAAGGACTGCAATCTGAACAAGTTAGCCAGAGGAATGCCTAATATAAGATTTATGTGAATATTTTATTTTTTTCTAAATTTTATTTTTGTGTCCTCGAGCTCTTTTTATGGAAAGACACACACACACACACACACACAACATTAACTGTAGTGAGAATAGCATACTCCTTGCTGAATATTTGAAACAAGAAAGCTATTACCTTTCTCCAGCATTTTTTTGGGGAGCCAAAAGATAATGAAGGAGTGGACCAAAGCATTTAGACATTGAATCCAAAACACCTAAAAGAAAACAAAGTGAGAAAGTCAAGATGGTATTTTGATCTAAATCTAAAAATATGTGATACTGTGAAGTATATTTGCTGAGTATAACACAGTTACAAAGCTAAAATGTTTTCCTAGAGATTGAAAAAAATCTATTTTTAAAATTCTACTTTTATAAGAAATGACTGTGAAACTATAGAATATTATTCTAAAAATAAATTTCTTAAATATAAATGTATAGAACTAAAATATAACATATTTGTAATATAAATTATGCAGTCTTAAATTATCCAGTGAAACAGAACCAGAAATAATTTTTGAAAAGGACAAAAATATTTTTAATTTTTAAATTATAGTATTTTAAATGTAATTTCATATCATACTTTATATGGCATATTCTGATCCTCTACATTTTTCCCTTGCCCTTGTTCAAATTATTTTTTACCAATTATTTTCCATTTTCTTTAATTGAATTTTCATTATTTTAAATTTTTTGGTTCCGTTCAACCAGGGTTCCCCTTTGTTAGATGATAGAACAATGAAAACAAAAGGCAATGCTCTTTCAATTTTAAATATATCAAGTTATTTTCATGCTTGCCAGGGAGATTTATAAATAAAGAACCAGAAAAGGATGTGGGAAAAACATATCTGGCCTGTGACCCAGAATTTCCTGGAATAAGGCAATTTTTAGGAAAGAACGTAAGAAACCAGTTAAAAAACAAAATTAATGTCAGATTAGACACCCTCATGGCTCATGGAACATTGGGTTCAGACAGTACATAGAAGTTCTCACCTCAATAGTGGAAAATAATTATCCCTGGACTTACCACTGTTCCTGTCTTATCTAACAAATCTTAAAACTCACACTGAAAAAGATCAAACTGTTTCCAACTACTTTGCTTGTGTCCCAGAGGAAAATTTAGGAACATTTACAGGAATAAAAAAAATATCCAGTACTTGCCTAGGTAAAATTCATATATCAGGCATCCAGTCCAGAATTATCAGAAAAATAAAGGAGCAGGAAAATACTACCCAAAATAAAGAAGTAAATAAATCAATCAACTCCAACTCAGAACCAACAGAGATGTTAGAATTTGCAGACAAGAATGGAGAAAAAATTATCATAGCTGTATTCTGTGTGCTCAAATTTAAGCAGGAACATGCGAGATATAAAAAATGTTCAAATAGAAATTCTAGGGATCAAAAACTACAACGTGTGAGATAATAAATATACTGAATGGGATTAATGGAAGATGCAACACTGCAGAAGAGAAAATTAATGGCAGATAGACAGTGCAGAAGTAAATTTGAAGACAAAATGATAAAAAATATATATACCCCAAATGACATACTGAAAGAAAGAAAAACTTCTAAAACAAAAATACAGCTTCAAAATGGTTTTGTACTACGTCAAGTGACCTATGTGTAATTGGAAGCACAGGAGAAGAGAAGATGAGCCAGAAAAACAAATTTGAAGAAATAACATCTGACAGTTTTTCAAATTTGACATGTACTGTAACCCAGGCAGTAAGTATCTTAGGCTTCGAGGGCCTCATAATCTCTGTTGCAACCATTCAATTTTGCTATTGTGGCACTAAAAGAGACATAGATTATTGTAAATAAATAAGCATGGCTATGTTCCAATGCAACTTTCTTTATAAAAACAGGCCAAGGACTGGATTTGGCCTGTAGGTCACAGTTTGCTGATTCCACTAATATAAACCCACGGATTCAAAAAGCATAAACATGAAGAAACAAGACACATCAGAATGATATGCTCACATGCAGCAATAAAGAAGAAAACGTTAAAAGCAATCACAGGGAAAAAAAGGCCTTTTTCTTTAAGGGGCCTTAAGGTTGGGGTTGCCCCCATTTTCCCTTCAAACCATTGCAATTAGGAGGCCATTGGAAGTTCTTCAAGGAATTAACTTACCGGCTTGGATTTTCTTCCCAGGAAAAAATAACTCTTCAAAATGAAGGTGAAATAAAAACTCTTTCATACATGCAAAAGCTGAAAGACTTCATCGCCAGCAGATTTGCACTATAAGAAATGTTAAAGGAAGTCTTTCAGACAGAAAGAAAATGATAACAGATAATAATGTGAATCTGCACAAAGGACAGAAGATCACTGAAAATGATAAATATATGGGAAAAGATAGGAGTTTCTCTTACTATTTAAATCATTAAGGATAGTTATTTAAACAAAATATGAACAATATAGCATGGGGTTTATAAAATATGTAAAATTAACATGTACGACAGCACTAGCTCAAAGGTTAGGAAAAGAACAACGGAGTCATATTGTATTAAGTGTCTTACAGTATATGTCAAGTAGCATATCACTTGCAGATAAATTATAATAACTTAAAGACATATACTATAAACCTTAAAGCAATTTCTAAAATAGGAGAACAAAGGGTTATAGGTAATAAGTCAACAAAGAAGATAAATTGGAATTTATAAAAAATAATTAATTCAAAAAGGTAGAAAAAGTGGGAAAAATTATAGGTAGGACAAACAGAAATGTCAAGGTGGTTAAGTTTAAACCTTACCATATCAATGGTAAGGAAGCTCAAATGCCTTAAATATCTAATTCAAAAGCATATATTGTTAGATCAGATAACAAAGACTACAAGCTGCCTATAAGAAACACTTCCAAATATGAAGACATAAATAGGTTAAAAGTAAAAAAATGGGGAAAGCTGTAATCCCAGCACTTTGGGAGGCCGAGGCGGGCGGATCGCTCAAGGTCAGGAGTTCGAAACCAGCCTGAGCGAGACCCCGTCTCTACCAAAAATAGAAAGAAATTAATTGACCAACTAAAAATATATATACAAAAAATTAGCCGGGCATGGTGGCGCATGCCTGTAGTCCCAGCTACTCGGGAGGCTGAGGCAGTAGGATCGCTGAGCCCAGGAGTTTGAGGTTGCTGTGAGCCAGGCTGACGCCACGGCACTCACTCTAGCCTGGGCAACAAAGTGAGACTCTGTCTCAAAAAAAAAAAATGGGGAAAGATATACCATTCAGACACTGAGAAAAAGATGGAGTGATAACATTATTATCAAAATAAATTTTAAGAGAAAATACTACTATAAGAAATAACAAAAATCATTTCACAATGATAAAGAGATAAGCCAAGAAAATACAACAACCCTAAATACTTATACACCTAATAACAGAACTTCAACAGCACACGAAGCAAAACTGGTAGAACGTCAGAGGGGAACAGCTAAATCCACAATCATGGTTGGAGATTTCAACACTTTTCAATAACTGACAGAACAACTGGACAGAAAATTAGTAAGAAGCATGGACATTTTGAACAAAACTATCTTCAAATTTGACCTAATACGTTTTTTTTTTCCACTGAAGATGAAAGAGTCAGAAGATAGACTATACTTTGAACCATAAAACAAGTCTCAATACATTTAAAAGGCTTTTCATGTTTCTTCCAGGTGTCTATAATTTTTAAAAAGCTTCACAAATGATCGAGAGGCACAGTGAGGCCTATTCAAATTCGACAGAGTGCATGTCATTGCTCTCGCGGCCTGTGACAGTCCTTGAAGTCCCCCCTCTGAATGCCAACGCCTGTGGCCTCGGGAAGCAGTCATTCCAGGAGAATCCCGTGCAGCAGTGTCTCATCTAAAAGTAGACCTCCACAACATGCCTCCAGAAGCGGTTTAGTGCCAATCTGTGAGGCCACACGTGGCACCTTGCTTCTTTTTCACAATACACTTTTTTTTTCATTTCGCAATACTGTTATTTCTCTCACTTGAACCTCAATTCCCTGGCTACGCTACGTAGTAGCATGAAGATGGCACAAGGCAGTATTCTTTGTGTTTTAAAATTTATTTTTCCTAAAGCGTTGGGATGGGATGAGACCAAAGGCACCACTGGATCAAGTTAGAGACCTGCAATAAACTTTCAGCTTACCTTTGTGTTGAAAATCTCCCCCGTCTGAGATACGGTGTAGAGCTGTGGAAACCTGATCAGGCTCCTCTGACTGCAACACTGCTCAAACATTCCCAGCGTTAAGGCCGGTAATGAAGTGAAAATCTACAGGGAAAACAAGAATCTATTTTTAAAAAGAGCTTTCAGTCTATACCTGAGTTAGTGATATTGCACCAATGTGAATATCCTAGCTTGGATAAGATGGTTATCAGAATGGCATTATGGGGGAAGCTGGGTGAAAGACACACAGAACTCTCAACTATAGTATTCTTTCATCTTGTGCTATGTCCTTAAAACTCTTTAAAATAAAAATTACTTACACAGGAACCATTATTGAGTCACACAGATTCAAACACATTTAATCAGTCAAATCATGACATAATTTTTCTGATCAAAAAACTTTGATTCAATAGCTTATAACTATGCACATTTTTTATAAATATAAAATGGATAAATTTTATTTTCTTGTGTTTATGAGCATAAACCAAATAGAGTGTCTAGCTATTTAAATAATAGGCATGATGTTGTCCAATAAATCTAGCAATAACGACATCTTTGCTCCCTCATAAGAACCAGTTGCTTTAGAGCTTGTTCACCTGTGAGGTCTTGGCTCAGAGAAGTCACTCAATAAATACTATTGTTAATTGAGTGTTAGACTAAATGAAAGCCAATTTATAAGAACTCTGTATCTTCATTGTTATCATCACAAACAAAATAGAGGTTTCCAACTCATTTATTCTTTAAAGATTTATTGAACAACCACTATGCCAGGAACCAAGTTAAATGAAAAAGATATAATCCTTTAAAGAACTCTGGAACTTGTCAAAGAGGGAACCTTGTAACAGTCACCATAATATTATGGGAAATAATTGCTTGAAATACTTGAAATGCTTAAAGAACTGCATTTAACATTTCAAGTATTACAGGTCTTCCAGTGATGAATTCTCCATCTTCTTGGTTTGAATAGGTTTTTATTTCACTTTAGTTATGTAAAGACATTTTTGCTGGTTATAGAATTTCTTTTCTTTCTTTCTTTTTCTCTCTCTCTTTTTTTTTTTTTTTTTTTTTTTTTGTTTAGCACAGGTAGTTTTATTGTATGTCTTATCCAGTAGGTGATTTAAAAACTAGTGTGTAGAAATGAATAGTTTCTTTTTTTTTTTTTTTCTTTTTTTTTTTTTTTTTTTTGAGATAGAGTCTCGCTTTGTTGCTCAGGCTAGAGTGAGTGCCATGGCATCAGCCTAGCTCACAGCAACCTCAAACTCCTGGGCTCAAGCAATCCTCCTGCCTCAGCCTTCCGAGTATCTGGGACTACAGGCATGCACCACTGTGCCCGGCTAATTTTTCTACATATATTAGTTGGCCAATTAATTTCTTTCTATTTATAGTAGAGATGGGGTCTCGCTCTTGCTCAGGCTGGTTTCAAACTCCTGACCCTAGCAATCCGCCGCCTCGGCCTCCAGAGTACTAGGATTACAGGCGTGAGCCCAGCCCACGAAATGAATAGTTTCAAACTGAGTAAATATATTATGCCATGTTATAAAATCCAACAAATGAAAAGCAATTGCCAAACTGAAAATAAGTTAGGGGGGAGATCCACATCTTAAGGATGTGGTGAGCATTGTGGGGGCGGAAGGGATTACCTCAATCCCTTTTTAGGGAGAGGCAAAGATATACACTGTAACCAAAATGTCTAAAAAAAAGTAAATCTGTTATCAGGAGGTGGGGAGGTGGAAGGGGCATAGAGGGGAAGGGTATGTACTTACACGCTTACACGGTGGGTGTGGTGCGCACCACCTGGACGCTGGACATGGTAGAAGCTCTGGCATAGTGGGGTGGGGGAGGGGGGGCAGGGGCAAGATATGTAACCCTAACAATATATGTACCCCCATAATATGAGGTAATAGTAAAAAAATAATAATAATTCTGGCTTGTAGAGAAGAAATGTGCGGTGTTTTCAAAGCTCTTAACAGTTACCCACTAATCTCCAAAGCTTCACTTAGAGTTGGAAGATGAGTTTCACAGCAAGGTAGTTTTAACCTCCATTTACATTCATTTTAGTATATTACTAAGATGTTTACTGTATGCCACAATGGTGCTTTCCAGTGTTCGCAATTTATAGTTTCAATTTGTACATATTAATTCACTGACAGAAGGGGCAGTTCTTATTATACAAACTATCCATAAAAAGAAAAATAAAACCCATCTTACATAGAACTCCGAACATGGTATGACTTAAAACAGATTAATGCAACATGGGTTTTAATATTTTAGCCATTTCCTCAATACCAGCATGTAAGCTTGCCTATTTAATATGTGAGAGCTACAACTTTATTCACTGAGAAATTATGCATTACCAATAATTTCCTTCAACCATTTTCCTCATCTTAACTTACAAATCTCATGACTTACTGGTTCTGTTTCAGTGAATTCCAAACTCCATTTTTTTTTTTTTTTTTGGAGAAGGGGAGGGAAGGTGATCAATGTATTCTAAATGGAAAAAAGTTCCCCCAAATTAAGCCTTTTAAAAAAGTGTCTTTTTACTTTTACACTATTTTACACTTTAAGAGTCAGATTCAATGTTTCATCTTTAACACTGACACAAATAAATTACTGTAGGGTCAGTTTGCCCTACCATTGTGGGACCTAAAATTCTAAATATGTGAACAGAAGAATAAATACTTCAATGTTGAAATCTGAAATCTAGAGCCCTTGTACGATTTGACTACACTGGTCAAAGCAGTTAGTTACAAACATACAACTCAGTAGGTAGTTATTTTGCTTTTGGGTTTGGGCAGTCACAAAACAGAGAGTAACATGAAATAACGAAGAACTTTTGTTTCCCACGTTGGGGGGTGGTGGGGAATCACAGGGTAGTTTAAACCTCTGAAGTCCGTTTGGCCTATGTACTCGGGTCTACGATAAAATTTTTCAATTTTTTAAATGACCTCTATTCTTTAATTGAGTACCAAACTGATTGGTAGTCACATCTCCAAGTGCAATCAGAGCGTAACAACTTCTTGAATGAAATATTAACAAGGTTAAAAAAGACAGATTAAGTTTCAAACTAGTAAAAAAAAACACCACTCAAGTATTACATCCAGTTGTCCCATCACTTACAACAGATCTGGCTTCAGTTGCTCTCCTGCACACTCGCACCCACGCCAGGCACCCCAGCCCCAAAACCGCTTTGCAACACAGGCCATATAGTCAGGGGTGGCATTCTCCAGGCCAAACTTTGAATAGATTTAAAAAAATGTAAATTTCTAATTTTACAGAAATGCTTGTTCAAAAAATATTTTCTCTCACTCCCTCATCTCCTATGATGAAGGATGTATGTTAATTTTTTTTCTCCAAGCTAAATCTGAACCCTCAAAATTGATTCCAGGGAGAAAAATCTCTGCAAATTAAATAAAAAACAAAAATAGAAAAATTACGCTTTTTTGATATACACGTACACACATATCCATACACACACATACACGTACGTACACTGACTGGAACGCTCCAGCACTTAAAAATCACATTAGAGATAAATTTTGGGATCCTACTGCTCACAACTCCAAAATCCATAATGATTTAGGGGTGTACTTCTTCCTGTTTCCTTCCTGGACCCGCTCCCCTCCAAAACTGTTCAGTGTAGCCACAGCTCAAGTTCAATGGGAAGAGAGAAAAGCTTGTGAATAGTTATTTATTTCACTTTGGTGGCACGTACTCCTCTTTGCCATGACATCGCGTCACTCCCTGAGGCGTAGTCCTATGGCTACACTGGCGTCTCTGTTCCCGGGTTTCCCAGCTGCTCCCTGGGATGGTACTGCCTCGGAAGCCAGAACAACCCTTACTCGCGCTTGCTTCTGGCGTCTCATGTCGTTTCTCAACAGACTTCTCAGGAGCTCCGTTCTCTGCGTTTTTGGTGGGAGGCACTGCACTGGAGCAAAGTTCCCACAGGGGCTGCACAAGAACTGAAGATGGCTCTTTTAGGGGGCTTCAGGCACACTTGAGCGTGACCTAGCTTGCGGGGTTCCTGTAGGTCCACGGCTACAGCGGCATCTGTGTTACCATTATGTGGTGAAGCAGTATTTGCCCCTTGTGGCTTTGCAGCAGCTGAGGAAGAAACTGGTATAGTTACCTGGTTGAGAACATCCTTCTGAGCAGCGGGATCCTCTATTAAATTAATCCTCTACGATCCGTTTCTTGCTGAGTTGTTCTTAACGCAGGAAGCTCAGCTGCACGTGGAGGGCCGGTGCTCGCGCTGAGCTGCCGGGCAGACGTGCAGTCTGTCTGCTGGCCCTCTGCAGGCACTGGGCCACTGCCCTCAAGTCTTTATCGTCCTTTACCTTGTAGACATCTTTAACGACATCAGACATGCTATCCTCCAAAACAAGTTCACCCGGCGGCACCCCTGATGACCTTCCAGGTAAAGGAAGAAAATTTAAGGCCGGTAAGTCAAACGTAGGTGAAGGATGGGGTCTTGGGACCCTGTCGTCTTCTCATCGTCTTCAACCTCTGGAAAGAGTTCTCCTGCCCCTGCCATAATCCCCATTGCGATCCATCTGCAAAGTGGGAGTCTCCTTTGCCAGGTGAGTTGGCTCCTGGTGCCCTGCCACTGCAGGGTTATGCTGCTCAGCTGGAAGTTCCTTGAATCTGATCTGCAAAACTGTCCATCCCCCAAACAACACAGAGCCCCCTGTTGAGTGTTCTCAGCCACTGGATGACCTAAAATGAGGCTTTGCATGATTCTTTTGGAATACTTGACCCATATTCATGGCAGCAGTATGTGTTTTATAAGATCCTGGTGAATTAAAGCCATTTATAAAACTACCATTGGGAAAGGGGAGCCAGTGGTGTTTCCAAGTAAGGTACAGGATTTGGAGACCAAGGCTGAGGCACAGTACTATAGAGCGAGTACTGTTGATGAGGATTATATACGGGCTGCATAAAGACTGGTGGGGCATACTGTGCTTGAGTGTGAATGGGCTGGCTATGCATACTAGAATCTATTAGTCGATAACCATTCCTTAGCAAAAAAATGTATTGATAGCTTTTACCCTTGCCACCATTGGCTTGCTCTGAAATGTTTTAACTTCTCAAGTATTTAAAAGCCTGCTGTGCATCTGTCTGACTAGAAAGTGATGCACCAGTTGCTATTCTATTGTGTGCAGACTCACAGCTTATCGCTTTGGGGCAGTTTTCATTTTTGAACAAAGCTTTCACTTTCTCTATTGGCATTGTTTCAGGAATCTCTCTAAGAATCACAATACGGTACTTATGACATGGGCTCACTTTCTCATCCTCCTCATCAACTCGTACCCTGGGAGAAGATCTCAACACTTCAAGAATTAGACCAGGGTCTGTAGTCAGCTTCTTTATTTCTTCCACGTTGGCAACTGTCCAAACAGGGATGAACCGATCGCTATCCATCTGAGATATCAAGTAATATCCTCTGACAAATTTTCTCATGAGAAACAAAATTCTAATTGTCTCTTCAGATATTCTCTTGGGTCTTCTGTGGACATTGCCGAATTGCTTTCTCCAGAAACATCGTATATTTGGCGACTCAGATCTTCGGGTTCTAAAACCATTCCATCAGTTGATTCTTCAATGCCTGTAGTATTTCTTGTGGTTTCACAAGATGAGGAATACACTACTTCATACTCCTTATACATGTCTTCTGACAGCTCTGTATTACCCAGCTGTAAAGCAGCACGTGGGGCCATGGAGGCAGGAAGGTGAAATGCACAGGTAATATCTAAAGGAACTGGTTTAAATTCTAATGCCATAGCATGGCAAGAAAAAGCATGATGCTACCCCCGTAACTCATGGAACTGACAGCTCTCGGCATGAAACCGTGGCCACATTAGAATTCCTTTTTTCTTTCAGAATGTGAAGTTAATTCCACTGTCTTCTAGCCTGCATGGTTTTTACCGAGAAGTCTGCTTTTATTCTTTCTAAATTTTAAAATTTTTTCAGAAACAGGGTCTTTCTCTGTCACCCAGGCTGGAGTGCAAATGGCCTGATCATAGCTCACTGCAGCCTCAAACTCCTGGGTTCAAATGACCCTTCTGCCTCAGCCTCTGGAGTAGCTTGAAATACAGGCCCATGCCACTATGCCTGGCTAATTTTTAAGTTTGTTTTTAGAGATGGGGTCTTGCTGTGACCAGCTTGCCCAGGCTGGTCTCCAACACCTGTCCTCAAGTGATCCCATGCAAGCATTCTGTTTTTCACTTTCAATACAGTATCCAATAAATTACAGGAGATATTCAACACTTTTATAAAATACGCTTTGTGTTAGATGATTTTGTGCAACTGTAGGCTAATAATGTGTTCTGAGTACATTTAAGGTAGGCTAGGCTAGGCTCTGATGACTGATGGGTTATGCATATTAAGTGCATTTTCATTTGTGATGGGTTTATTGGAATGTAACGCCATCAAAATTTGAGGAGCACCTATATTTGTGCTGCCTGCTAGGTGTACAGATGATTGACTTAGAAACACTTCTGAGACACAAAGAGTGAAGAATGTCACTAAAGTCTGCATGCTGTGAGACAGAGATAAAAAATGCTTACCAGATTGTACAAGCCGATGCACCAACGTTCAAATATAATCTGCCCAGAAAATCCATTAACAAAGGTAAACCAAAGCTGAAAGACAAGGAAGCCAAATGAAACAGTCTATCAATGTTTTATTATACATCCACACATTAAAAAGAAGTGATACAGAAAAGGGACACCTTCATTTGGCTGAGCTGCTAGAGAATAATTACTGAGGAGGCCATAAAATTGTTCCTTCATAAAATATGAGTTACAAATACCACATATCACTGATATTAAAAAATATCGATGTCCTCTGGTAACTAATGGCATACATCTTTATACTAACATATGAATTTCCTGAAAATGTCATTTGCAAAATAATCTCCCAAATCAAGTAACAAATGTCTGTCTGTCTTTATAACAAGTAACAAACTGAATGTCTTCCACGGGCACAGTTACCCCAAATACCCTCTCCATAGTACAAAGGCCAGCGTAATAGTAATGGCCAGCACAGATGGGGCACATGTATACCAGGCACTATGATGTTACTTTAAACACATTTTCATGTTTAATCCTCCTAAGCAATATTATAAACTACATATTGTTATGATCTCATTTTAAGAACTGTGAAAACCAAAGCTCAGAGTGATTAAATCAGCCACTCGGGTCACACAGATAACCAGCCGCAGAGATGGGATTGGAGCCCAGATCCACATGACTCGTGGCCTGTACCCTTAAACTCACATGTTAGGGACGATTTACCAAAGTGTGTCATTAATCATAAGACTCTTCGTATAATTAATATGGTAAATTAGAAAAAGATCCTCTTTGGTCACATTTCATAGTTTGGGGTCATGAAGATAGGAACCTCAATTCCTTCTTTTTAACTATAAGAGGTAGTCCTTATTCATATTATTTCAAAATATTAAAAGGGTACTAATGTTTTAGGTTACATGGATCGCTTTTGTCATGCTTGAGTTCTGGCTAACGGGGGGGCCCATCACCAAAATAGTGATCATAATACCGATTAGGTAGGTTTTGGCACATCCCTTCCTCCCTTCCCCCCTGGTTGATTTACACTGAGTTTTACTTCCATACATACACGTGCGCTCATCGGTTAGTTCCAATTTAATAGTACATGCACTGTTTGTTTTTCCATTCTTGAGACATCACACTTAGGAGAATGAACTCCACTTCCATCCGAATTGTTGCAAATGGTATTAATTCATCCTTTTTATGTCTGAGTAGCACTACATGGTGTATACGTACTACATTTTATTAATCCACTTATGAATTGATGGGCACTGGGGTTGATGCCACATCTTTGCAATTGTGAATTATGTTATGATAAACATTCAAATGTAGGTGTCTTTTTTTTATGAAAAGTCTTCTTTTCCTTTGGGTAAATACCCAATAGGGGGATTACTATATTGAATGGTAGGTCTAATTTTAGTTCTCTGAGGAATCTCCATGTTGTTTTCCATAGAGGTTGTACTAATTTGCAGTTCCATCAACAGTGTATGAGAATTCCTTTCTCTCTGCATCCATACCAGCATCTGTGGATTTTGGACTTTTTGACAAATGCCATTCTATTAATAACTGGGGTCAGGTGACATCTCATTGTGGTCTTTCTTCCTAGTTTCATAGTTCTCCTCATAGAAATCTTTCACCTCCTTAGTTAAGTATATTCCTATGTATTTTGTTTTCTTTGTAGCTATTGTGAATGGTATTGAGTCTTTTATTTTATTGACTGTCAGCTTGACTGTTATTAGTATATAGAATTGTTACTGATTTATGTGTTACTACATTGATTTGTATCCTGAGACTTTACTGAATTTATTTATTAATTCCAGGAGACTCTTGGTGGAATCTATGGGGTTTTCTAGATAAAAGACCATATCATTATTGAAGAGCAATACTTTTATCTCTTCTTTCCCAGTTTGGATACTCTTTATATTCTTCTCTTGTCTGATTGCTCTGGCCAGGACTTCTAGCACTATGTTGAATAAAAGTGGTGACAGTGGATATCCTTGTCTTGTTCCAGTTCTTAAGGGGAATGCTTTCAACTTTACCCCATTCGGTATGATATTGGCTGTGGATTTGTCACCTATGGATTTTATAATTCTGAGATATGTTCCTTCTATGCCTAGTTTGTGGAGGGTTATTATCATAAAGGGGTGTTAGATTACATAAAATGACCAAATCTACAAGTTACATGTATTCCTGAGGAGGAAGAAAAAATAAAAAATTTGGAAAACATATTTACGGAAATAATTGAGGAAAATTTCCTTACTCATGCTAGAGATTTAGACATTTAGGTACCAGAGACTCATAGAACACCAGGGAGATACAATGCAAGGCAAACTTCATAAGACATATAATCATCAGACTATCTAAAGTCAACATAAAGGAAAAATATCCTAAAATTAGCAAGAGAAAAATGTTAAATTATCTATACAGGAAATTAGACTAACAGCAGATTTCTCAGCAGAAACCTTATAAACCAGGAGATATTAAAGTCTGTTTTTCAATCTTCTTAAAGGAAAGAACTGTCATCCATAAATTCTGTATCCTGCTAACTTAAACTTCATAAATTGAGGAGAAATAAAGTCATTCCCAGACAGGCAATTGCTAAAGGAATACTTCACCACTAGATTGGCCCTATAGTAAATGCTCAAGGGAGTTCTAAACATGAAAACAAGAGGTCAACACTTGCCATTATACAAACACATAAAAGCATAAAATTCATAGTTCCTATAAAACTTAATAATATTCCATTGTGTATATATATCATGTTTTGTTTATCCATTCAAACATTGATGGACATTTGGGTTGCTCCTACCTATTGGCTATTGTGAGTAATGTTGCTATAAACCTGGGTGTGCAATTATCTCTTTGAAATCCTACTGTCAATTTTTTTGAATATTTGACCAGAAGTGAGATTGCTAGATCATATGGTAATTCTATTTTAAATTTTTTTAAGGAACTGTTGCACTCTTTTCCATAGTGATTGCAACATTTTACATTCCCACCAACAGTGCGCTAGGATTCCAATTTCTCCACAACCTCACCAACACTTGTTACACTTGTTATTTTCTGTTTGTTTTTTAATTTTTTTGGGTAGTAGCCATACTAATGTGTGTGAGATAGCATCTCACTGTGGTTTTGATTTGCATTTCTGTAATTTTAGTAATAATTGAACATAAAACTTTATATGCTTGTTGGCTATTTGCATATTATCTTTGGAGAAACATCTATTCAGGTCCTTTGCTCATTTTTAAATTAGGTTTGTAGTTGTTGAGTTGTAAGGGTTCTTTTTATGTTCTGGATATTAGCTCCTGATTAACTACATGATTGGTGAATATTTTATCCTATCCCATAGACTGCCTTTTCACTCTACGGATTATGCCCTTTGATGCACCGCAGTTTTTAGGTGTGATGTAATCTCCTTTGTCTTTGCTTTGGTTGCCTGTGTTTTGCATCATATCCAAGAAATCATAGCCAACCCAATCGTGAAGATTTCTCACTATGTTTTCCTTTGGAGGTTTTATAGTTTTCAGTTTTACATTTAGGTCTTTAATCCACTTTGAGTTAATGTATATAGTATAAGGTAAGGGTCCAAATCCATTCTTTTACGTATGAAAATCCATTTTTTCCAACACTATTTGTTGAATAGGTCATCCTTTCCCCATTGAGAGGTCTTGGCACTCTCATCAAAGATCATTTGACCATATACACTAGGGTTCATTTCTGAGCTCTTAATTCTATTCTATTGATCTATGTGTCTGTCTTCATGCCAGTAACACACTCTTTGAATTACTGGAGCTTTGTACTAATTTTTGAAAGCAGAAGTGTGAGTTTTCTAACTTCTTTCTTCCTTCTCAAGATTGTTTGGATATTTGGAAGTCCCTTGAGATTACATAAAAAATTTAGAATGGATTTTTCCTGTTCTTCAAAAAACACCATTGGGGTTTTCATGGGGATTGTATTGAATCTGCAGATCACTTTGGGTAGTATTAACATTTTAATAATATTAAGCCTTCCAATCCATGAACACAATATGTATTTCCCTTTATTTGTGTCTTCTTTAATTTATTTTAGCAATATTTGGGAGTTTTCAGTGTATAAGTATTTTATTTCCTTGATTAAGTTTATTCCTAAGCATTTTATTAAATATTTTTTGTGACTATTGTAAATGGGGTTTTAAAAAATTTCCTTTTATAATTATTCATTATGAGTGTATAGAAACACAACTGATTTTGTGTGTTGATTTTGCATCCTGCAACTTTGCTGAGTACATTTATTAGTTATAACAATTTTTGTAGAATATTTCACATTTTCTACATGTAAGAGGATATATGTGAACAGAGATAATTTTATTTCTTGCTTTATAATTTGGATATCTTTTCTTTCTTGCCTAACTATTCTGGCTAGAACTTCCATTACTATGTTGACTAAAAGTGGTAAGAGTGGGCATCCTTGACTTGGTCTTGACCTGAGAAGAACGGCTTTTAGTCTTTCATCACTGAGTATAATGTCAGCTATGAGATTTTCATATATGGCTAGTTTGTTGAGTGTTTTGATCATGCAAGGGTGTTGAATTTTGTCAATTTTTTTTTCCTCATCAATTGAGATAATCATGTGTGTTTTATCCTTCACTCTGTTAATGTGGACTGGTTGATTTTTTTTTTCTTTTTTTCTTTTTCATTTTTTATTTTTTATTTTTTTTTTATCCTTTTGCAAGTCTTGCTTATTTTTTTTCTTTTTTTTAGATTTTGACCCATGCTTGCATTCCAGGAATGCTCTGTGTGTTGTACCACTGGAAAAGCCAGGCCCTTTCCTACCCCCTTAGTGGAAGGCATAGAACTTGGAAAACAACAATTGCCTCATGACAAAGACTTTCCATTTCAATAGAAGCATAGCTAAAAGAGCCCAGAGAACCCTTCTGTGCTTAATCACAGGGAGAATCTGGAGCTGGCAGGAATACAATCAGGTTCTAAAGAGGATATTGTTTTTAAAGCACAAAATATGTCAGTAAGTCATCATAAAGTCATACGATGTTTTACTTATGCTATAATTTGAATTTTTGTCCTCCTAAACCTTCTGTTGAAATCAGATCCCCAGTGTTGGAGGTGAAGCCTGATAGAAGGTGTTTGGGTCATAGAGGTGGACCCCTCATACGGGGTTTGGTGCCATCCTCGCTGTAACAAGCGGATTCTTTTTGCTCTATTAGCTTCCATGAGAACTGGCTGTTCAAAAGAGTCCCCCTCTTGTCTCGTGCATGCGCTTTCTCTCTGGCCATGTGATCTCCGCAGGTGCTGGCTCCCCTCTGCCGTCCACCACACGTGGGTGCAGCCTGAAGCCCTCACCAGTGCAGATGCTGGTGCCATGCTTCTTGTACAGCCAGATAAACCTCTTCTCTTTTAAACTTCCCTGCCTCAGGTATTCCCTTATTGCACCACAAGTGGACTGATACAACTTAATATATGTTGTTTACTTGATCACTTTTGTGAAAAAAAAAGCTTAAAGCAGGATTACATTTACAGCACTAATTGAGATAAATATTTTTTTTAAAAAAAATTTAAACTACCAAGCCTGATGTCAAGGAAAAAAAAGACCTAACTCCTCAATGGAAGAAGTGGTATCTCCTTTCTTACCTCAACAACATAGAGTATGACATTCTTGTAGAAACAATACAATATGCATTTGGTCACTCGAAAATAATTCCAAGTTCCATGAACCAACAGAAGCTTTTCCAGGTAGCTAAACTGAAAAACAGAAACAGCAGTCAATTCAAATTCAAATGAACCTCCTATTTAGTGATAAAATCCACAGACTGTCATTTTCCCAGTATTTCACAACCCAGCAGCTCCCTCTGTAGAGAATACAGCACCCCAAAGGTGAGCAGAATAAAACCAATTCCATTGACAACCTGACATGGCTGTTCACTATAAAGGAAATTAACTTCTCTTATTGTTTTAAAAAAAAAAAACAAAAAACCCATTAAATATCACTTTTTTGCCCAGCAAGTGCATGTCACATGCATGGCTTTTAATTAAATCTGATACATATTTGGGATCTTAATAATGAGAAGGGGTCAAAATTATTTAATGAAAAGAACATCACGCTGGGCCACGGTGGAGGGTGCCTATAATCCCAGCACTACTGTGGAGGCTGAAGCAAGAGGGTCACCTGAGCCCAGGAGTTCGAGATTACAGTGAGCTGTGATTGTGCCACTGCACTCTAGCCTGCGTGAGAGTGAGACCTTGTCTCAAAAAACACAAAAATAAAAAAATTCTGAGATCAGGCGAAGTAACAAAGTCTTATGGGAGATCAGCCTCTCATTTCTTAAATAAATTAAAAGAAAAAGAAACAAAAATTTAAAAGGGAGCTAATGGGCAACCTCTGTAGTGCTACTCAGCCTTCTCACCCTCATGCCTATGTGGCTGGGGTAGCGGGTACAGGGGAAGTCTCTGTACCTCCTGCCACACTTTGCTGTGAACTAAAACTGCTTTAAATAATAAAGTCTGTTTAAAAAAAAAAAAGCCTACCAAGAGGCAGCGTCTCCTTTAAAAAAAAAAAAAGTGGGTGGGAGGAAAAAAGATTTAGAGAATATACTAGCAGGGCTATAGATTCTTGGTGGCATCAGTTTGCACAACTCTACAGCTGGTCAGAGGCAACCCCTACTGCTCCGAAGTGTGTCAGTACCCCAAATGTGGCAGTAGCTTCACACAGAAAGCAGTCTACAGAGGTGGGGGGACCTCAGGGTGGACTGAAGGTCTTTTTTTGTTTTTGTTTTTCTGTTTTGAGACAGAGTCTCACTCTTGCTGCCCGGGCTAGAGTGAGTGCCGTGGCATCAGCCTAGCTCACAGCAACCTCAATCTCCTGGGCTCAGGCGATCCTCCTGCCTCAGCCTCCCGAGTAGCTGGGACTACAGGCATGCGCCACCATGCCCGGATAATTGTTTTTTTCTATATATTTTTAGTTGTCCAATTAATTTCTTTGTATTTTTAGTAGAGACGGGGTCTCGCTCTTGCTCAGGCTGGTCTCGAACTCCTGACCTCGGGCGATCCTCCCGCCTCGGCCCCCAGAGAGCTGGGACCGTAGGCTGAGCCACCCCGCCGGCCACACGGAAGGCCTCCGGCTGCTCGCGTGCCCGGCTGGCGCGCGCCGCCCACCTGCGCGATGGCGTAGTCCGAGTTGTTGGTGGCCTGCATGCCCTCATTGCCGCTGATGCCCACGCCCACGTGGGCCGTCTGGATCATGCCCACGTCGTTGGCGCCGTCCCCGATGGCGAGCGTGGTGGCCTTCACCCGCTTCCTCACCACGTCCACCAGCTCGGCCTTCTGGAGCGGAGACAGCCTAAAGGGCAAAGCGGAAACGGCCCCCGTCGGCGCTTTGCGTGGGTCCGTTTCACTTTTTCGCGCCGCCCTGGAAGTCTCTGCAGCGCGGTCGGCGGTCGTGCGTGCGCGGGCACGTTCAAAGGGCGCGCACCGGTGAAGGTCCCGATCCTTTAGTTAAGCTGGTTAGGAAGGGGTTCCCCACCCACTCACGGCAAAAACGGAACAAAACAACCCTCCCCCCGACCCCCACCCCCCTAAAAAAAAACCCCAGAAAAGAACCACACAGCAGCCTCCTCAGCATCTCAAGGGAATACGCAGGACCAGGTGAGGCCGCAGGTGAGGCCGCAGGTGAGGCCGCAGGTGAGGCCGCCGGGCTGTCGCGCACACCGCCTGCCTGCGCGCGAGGAAGGAGCGCGGGAACACGGTTCCCGGAACCGCGTGGCAGTCTCGGTGTGGCGCGCAGAGCGGCCTTCCACCATCAAACTACACTCAGGGGAACTGGAGTAATGCAAGGAGATGCTATTGGTAAAAAAATAAAAGTGAAGATGTCGGTCAGGAGAGTCCCGATTATGCCCTGGCAACAAACGCACTAACCAAAGCTAACTGCGACTCAACACAGTGGTCCCCAGCCTTTCTGGCACCGGGGACCGCCTTCATGGAAGGCAGTTTTTCCACGGGCTGGGGGTAGAGGTGGGGTGCGCGTGTCGTGGGTCGGGGGAGGTGGGGCAGAGCTCAGGCGGTGATGCAGACGGGAAATAGAGCTATCCTTTAATCATGGATTTGACTTCACCTTTCAAAAGTTAGTATGTTTTTTCATTAGCGTTCATTCAAGATACTTGTGCATGATTGTTATGTTTTGCCAGCAGTAAGTCAGTATTAACCTGAAGTATTAACCTGACATTGTATTCCCCAAAACTAACAACAGATATATAGAGATCAACTTACCATTGAAAAATTATAAATTGTTTTCTAGTAAATCTTAAACCTGACACTTAGAATTAAAGAAAGACCTATTCATTTCAGTTTGGGCATATATTATCCCAAAAAGGAACTTTGCTCCTTCAAAACTTATATTTCCATGTCTATATTTTCTTTACATAAAACAGTATTAAGTATAGCAGAGGAAGAAAAGAACAGTGAATATATTCTTACCTACAACACAATACAGCTCTACACGAGAGGGCCAAATTTAGGAACATTTTCTTAGTTTCAGGGTGGAGGGCATGCTTCAATGTTTCACCATCAATGATTAGCGCTATGTCATTTTCAGTACCCAACAAGCTTCCAAGATCTTCACAGTTCTGATTAATCATTTGTTGTACTATCTAAAACAGAGAGGAGATATCACTTTATATTCTCATTTTAAATATAAATGAAAAGATGTGTGAATCAAGATGGTAGACTGAGCTATGTGTTTACCTCTCTTCCCTTCAAAAATTTCACAGAAATGAGACTAAAAAGTAAACAGGCAACCGATAACATGAAGAGATGCTTGACGTTATTAGCCCCCAGGGAAATGCAAATCAAAACCACAGGAAGATATACCACTTTATACCCACTAGCATGACTAGATTCAAAAAGTCAAATAATAGAGACCCCGGGAGACTCCACAAGAGGAGGTTGCGGAGGAGAACTGGAAGCTGAGACCCCCAGAGCAGCCCAGAGACCAGCGGGAAGTACGTGGATCGGCCATTTCCCCTCCCCTGCATCTGGGACTGCTGGTGGGCTCCCCAGCGGGTGGAGAGACCTGTGGACACCAGCCCAGAGACAGCCACCGCCAGTGAGTGGTAAGCCAGTAGCAGACGCGGCACCAAGCTCCCAACCCCCTCGTGCACCTCCGTGTGCACAGACCTGAGCTGCCTGGCAGGCGCCATATTGCCTCCTCTGCCCCTCCGCCGACCCTACTGGTGGCTGCCCAGAAAGACAACACAGCCCACCAGCCGGAGGCACCTCCAGGGAATGGGACCTTCCGGTTTGGGACCCTACAGCTGACTCAGGGGAACTCAGACTGTGAGCGCCCTACCGGCCAGCCCTCCCAGGTGCTGCTGGCACGGTGATCCCAAGAGAACAGTGCAGACCCTGAGGCTGAGAGACACAGACCCAGTGTGGGCTCCCTGTGGGTGAATTGGGAACAGGACTCCTCTCCCTGGTGGGGATACAGTTTGAACTCTGGGACCCAGAGGTCGGACCTGTAGACCAGATCCCGTGCACCGAGGTCTAGCATTGCCCGGGTCACAGAAGGGTTACACGTGAACAGCATACTGAGGTGTGTGTGCCTCCAGGGGCGGATCAGCGTCCTAGAGAGCAACCCTCCTCCCAGGAGGAGGCCGTGCGCCCAACCCTGGTGGTGTTCCTGTGCGGGGGAACCTTCCCACCGGCATCACTACAGGAACAAGAGCTGATAACAGGACACAAAAACAACAGCGCAGCCTGTTCCTCCAAGCAAGCGCCACCTACTGACAGGGAGGGCATCCTGCACACCCTTCTCACAGCACCTACTGACTCATTATACAGGGAGTGGTCGAATCTCACCCACAGACACCACCTACCAGCTCAGAAACTAAACAAGGCGTATGTATACTCAAACAAAAACCTAAAGAAAAGAAACAACAACTGATCGACATGGGAAGAAATCACCGAAGGAACTCAGGAAATATGAAGAACCAAACGGAAAACACCCCCAAAGAGGAGCACCAGCCCCCTAGAAACGGACACCAACCAAAATCAGGCAACCAAAATGACAGAAGAGGAATTTCATATGTGGATCATAAGAACACTCACCGACCTGCAACAACAACTCAATAGCCAACACAAAGAAACCACAAAAAGCCTCCAGGACCTGGAACAAAAGTTCACTAAAGAAATAGACACAATGAAGAAAAGTTTAAACAAACTCCTGGAAATGAAAAATCAATTCAGGGAATTAAGAAATACAGTGGAAAGTCTCAAGAACAGGATAGATCAAACAGAAGAAAGAATCTCAGAGATTGAAGATAACACCCTCCAACTAAATAAAACAGTCACAGAAATAGAGCAGAGAAACAAGAGAAAAGACCAAAGTCTACAAGAGATGTGGGATTATGTGTAGAAACCTAATGTGAGGGTCATAGGGTTACCAGAAGGGGAAGAAGACAACACTCAAGGGTTGGACAAGCTGTTTGAAGATATAATAGAGGAAAATTTCCCAGGCCTTGCTCAAAATCTCGATATACAAGTTCAAGAAGCTCAGAGGACCCCTGGGAGATTCAATGCAAACAGGAAGACGTCACGACATGCAGTCATCAGACTGACCAAAATATCAACTAAAGAGGCCCTTCTAAGAGCTGTAAGACAAAAGAAGCAAGTGACATACAAGGGAAAGCCAATTTGAATAACACCAGACTTCTCTAATGAGACTTCACAAGCAAGGAGAGACTGGGGCCCCATTCTCACTCTACTGAAACAAAACAATGCCCAGCCTAGAATATTATTCCCTGCAAAACTAAGCTTCGTATATGAAGGAGAAATAAAGACATTCTCAGACAAGCAAAGTCTCAGAGAATTCACCAAGACGAGACCAGCCCTACAAGAAGTACTCAAAACGGTGTTACACATGGAACACCATAATAAAAACTCACGATATAAAAACAACCAAAACCCAAAGATTAAAGGCCAGATAATACAATGACTCAAGAGAGAAATCAAAGCAACAACATCCAACCCAACAGAATGAACAGTAATGTACCTTACCTATCAGTTCTCTCAATAAATGTGAATGGCTTAAACTCTCCACTCAAGAGACATAGGCTAGCTGAATGGATAAGAAAATACAGGCCAAGTATATGCTGTCTTCAGGAAACACATCTAACCTCCAAGGATGCATATAGACTAAAAATAAAAGGGTAGAGATCAGTATTCCAGGCAAATGGAAGCCAAAAGAAGGCTGGCGTGGCAGTTCTAATTTCAGACGATTTAGTTTTTAAACCAACAAAAGTAGTGAAAGACAAAGAAGGTCATTATATAATGGCGAAGGGCACACTTCAACAAGAAGAGACAACAATTTTAAATATATATGCACCCAACTTAGGTGCACCCAGATTCATAAAGCAAACCTTACTGGAGCTAAGCAAATGGATTACTAGCAACTCCATAATCACCGGAGATTTCAACACCCCACTGACGGCACAAGACAGATCCTCCAAATAGAAAATTAATAAAGAAATAATGGACTTAAACAAAACTCTAGAACAATTGGATCTGACTGACATTTACAGAGCATTCTACCCAAAATCCACTGAATATACGTTTTTCTCATCAGCTCACGGGACATTCTCTAAGATTGACCATATCCTAGAGACACAAAGTAACCTCAAAAATTTAAAAAAATAGAAATCATACCATGTATCTTCTCAGATCACAGTGGAATAAAAGTAGAAATCAACCGTAACAGAAACTCACATTTCTACACAAAAACATGGAAATAAACAACCTCCTACTAAATGATTACTTCATAAATGAAGAAATCAAGATGGAAATAAAAAAAATTCTATGAAGAAAATGACAATAGAGAGACAAGTTATCCAATCCTCTGGGACACAGCTAAAGTAGTTCTGAGAGGAAAGTTTATCTCCATCATTCCCTATAACCAAAAGTCAAAAAGATCACAAATAGACAATCTAATGAAACAACTCAAAGAGCTGGAAAAAGAAGAACAGACCAACCCCAAACCCAGCAGAAGAAGTGAAATCAACAAGATCAAATCAGAACTAAATGAAATTGAAAACAGGGAAGCTATTCAGGAGATTAATAAAACAAAAAGTTGGTTCTTTGAAAAAATAAACAAAATTGACATGCCACTGGCTAAGCTAACGAAAAGCAGAAAAGAGAAATCTCTAATAAGCTCCATTAGGAACAAAAAAGGAGATATCACAACTGACCCCAAAGAAATACAAGATATAATTTATGAGTACTACAAAAATCTTTATGCACACAAACTGGAAAATGTGGAGGAAATGGACAAATTTCTAGAAACACACAGCCTCCCTAGGCTCAACCAAGAAGAAATAGATTCCCTGAACAGACCAATCTCAACAGCTGAAATAGAAACAGCAATTAAAAATCCCTAAAAAGAAAAGTCCCGGTACAGATGGTTTCACACCCGAATTTTACCACACTTACAAAGAAGAACTAGTACCTATCTTGCAGAAACTATTCCACAACATCGAGAAGAACGGAAACCTCCCCGACACCTTTTATGAAGCGAATATTACTCTGATACCAAAACCAAGAAAGGATGCAACAAAAAAAGAAAACTACAGACCAATATCCCTAATGAATATAGATGCAAAAATTTTCAACAAAATCTTAGCTAACCGAATCCAGACGCTTATCAAAAAAATAATCCATCATGACCAAGTGGGCTTCATACCAGGGATGCAGGGATGGTTCAACATATGTAAATCTATAAATGCAATTCACCACATAAACAGAAGCAAAAACAAAGGCCACATGATTCTTTCAATAGATGCAGAAAAAGCTTTTGACAAAATTCAACACCCTTTCATGATATGAACACTTAAGAAAATAGGCATAGAAGGAACATACCTAAAAATGATACAAACCATATATGACAGACCCATAGCCAACATCATACTGAATGGGGAAAAATTGAAAGCATTCCCACTTAGAACTTGAACCAGACAAGGCTGCCCACTATCTCCACTTCTATTCAACATAGTGCTGGAAGTCCTAGCTACAGTAATCAGACAGGAAAGTGGAATTAAAGGTATCCAAATAGGGCAGAAGAGATCAAACTTTCACTACTTGCTGATGATATGATATTATATCTAGAAAACCCCAAAGATTCAACCAAGAAACTCCTGGAACTGATAAATGAATTTAGTAAAGTCTCAGGATACAAAATCAATACACAGAAATCAGAGGCATTCATATACGCCAACAACAATCTAATTGAGAAGACTCAATTCCCTTCACAATAGCAACAAAGAAATTAAAGTACCTAGGAATATACTTAACCAAGGAGGTAAAAGACCTCTACAGGGAGAACTATGAAACACTGAGGAAGGAAATAGCAGAGGATGTAAACAGATGGAAATCCATTCCATGCTCATGGATCGGCAGACTCAACATCATTAAATGTCTATACTACCCAAACTGATCTACAGATTCAATGCAATACCTATTAAAATCCCATCAGCATTCTTCACAGATATAGAAAAAATAATTTTATGCTTCGTATGGAACCAAAGAAGACCCGAATATCAAGAGTAATTCTAGGCAACAAAAACAAAATGGGAGGTATTAATATGCCAGATATCAAACTATA